CAAAATCACTTGACCCCAGTTAGACTGGATTTTAGAATCTAAGATGCTTTATAGTAGATATGGAATCTTGGTTTAATCAAAATACAGTAGGTAGGTAGGTTTGATGTTAGTGAGAAATAACATTTTTTGCCCTAACATCCTATTTATCAAACATAGCAGTATATCTATGCTGTATATAATTGCATACTGTCAAATTGAAGAGTCCTTATCGAATGGCATTGATGTAGTATGTGGCATACTTATACATTAGTATGTGAGTCATAGTTGATTTGAATGAGTATAGCTTAATCAGTAATAGATGGGTTACTTAGACTGGGACCTGTTTTATCATTCAAGTTAATGGAAAAACTGGTCATAGTCTAAAATCCATAAATATTTAACTAATCCTTTTCTACTTTAGAAAAATAGTTAATCAACAAGATAAGAACCAAGCATATAAGTCATGCCTTGTCAATCATCCATATTAATTTAAGATAAAGGGACTGCATCTTATATTTAGGTAAAATATATTTTGTCTATTTATAGATTTACAATCAAATCGTTACAGTTTCTATAATAATTGCTTAAATAATACAATAAAAGGCTTAAATTACCTGTATCCGTCAAATGATCCTGGTTTGTAGTTGGTTGACTACAGCTGTTTCATGTTAATATTAAGACATCTTCAGGTTAAATTGTTTTTACCTTGTTTTGAACTTTAAACCTTATGACGACCATTCTATGGAATAAATCAATGCAACAATTTGACATGAAGATGTGTTAATATTAACATGAAACAGCTGTAGTCAACCAACTACAAACCAGGATCATTTGACGGATACAGGTAATTTAAACCTTTTGTTGTAAAAATTAGTGATCCAGAGGCTATACCATAAAAATGAGCTTAAATAATGTGTGAATGTGTTTTTATGCTAATTGTGTTGCAGTTTTTTTCCGTAAAGAATTGAACTTTCATTATTTTCAAAAGTTTTTACTTTAAGAGGGCTCTACACCTTTACCAAACGACTGATCACCACCTGACCACCTCCGTATTACTCAAATTCTGAGCTTATTAAAGCACTTATCGACTTTCAGTGAATGGGAAAATGTTTCTAATGAAATAAACTAGGTTTTTAACATATTTTAAAGTATTTAATTTTTACGAAACATATTTTATTCAGGGTTAAAGGCAATGAAAATTGGTTATCTTCTTCTACATAAACCTTAAGAATTTAAACAAAATTAGAAGTTTTTCCGTTTTAAAACCCTTATTAGACATTGCAGATAATTTCCCCCTTGGTAGAACTTGACAAAAACCAATAGTTAACTCATAAATTGAGTAATTTGTGAGGGTTGTTTGCAAAACACCCCTGTACGAAGGACGCTCTGGCGAGCGTTGATGGAACTATCACCGCCGAGGAGATATTCGTCAGTGTTGCCAACCTGTTTCTCTGCCCATTAGGACATGGGACGGGTGTAATTCCCCAGAAAGGCTCACTGTGTCCTTGAATTGGATAACTATAAAGACACAATATTTGTCACTTGACCCATATCGTAATTCTTGATAAATGGCTAAGTCAAAGCATTATATTCGGGCTTTTACCATTCAGTGAATAATATGATCGATAACGTAAAAAAAATATGATTAAACCTAATAAATGGTAATACACAAACATTTGACTCAAATTAGTCCTTCCATAATTTTGTTATGGTTATTTTTACAATAAAAAGTATAACTTCAATAACATCGGGATTTTAAAGTTTGCAATCACTATTGAGATGCAATGTGAAGTTTCTGCAATCATTACTTAGTACCGGAAGATCGAGCCTTGCTCGGTTGTGGTTAATTGGGTTTAATCGGACGATATCGTAAACAGACATGCTTAGTTTAAGTGCTTCTCGCACAGATTTGTTCTACTGTATACCAATTAAACCCCCAGATGTAATTATTATACTTGGAATGCCTCTATACTTCGAGGATTATGTTTTGGTGTGAGAGGGCTAAGTAATATAATCAGTATTTGATCGGAACTATTTCCCCCTATATCGAGTAATCTTCAGTGTAGGTAATCTTTTCTCAATTGTAGACTCTCGCTCATCTGTATCGGCCTTGTCTGGACTCCCGCTAGTCCGGATCGGCAATTGTGATTTTTTTTTAGCGGCACAGTACAGTAGAACTCCGATTATCCAAGCTAAACGTGACCAAGACTACCAAGGATAACCAAGAAATCGGATAACATGGCAGTAAAAATTATTACCGGTGGAACTGCATTTGCCCGGCTATCAATACTGTGGCCTGGACCTGGAACAAAATTGAAAAAATGGGTTTATACAGTACTGTATTAACCGTTCCATATAATCAACATTTCTTGTAAATATTTTATCATTTTTCAAAATCTGATATGGTTTTTTCATATTTTCTACAAATGTTTCACACTTATAGCCGCATTAGGTTGTCCATGTTGATCTTCGTCAATGATAATGTACCGTGCATGGTACCACCCATTGTCGCCAGTACATTTACAAATTTCAGTAATTTTTTAATAGTGAAAACATTTTTTTTACATTACATAAGAGCTACCTGATTTCCTGCGTAACCTCTCTGTCACAATTTTATTTGCTTCAACTGGCATCAATTTGGTTAGTTACTGTTATATATAACGTAAATTATATTGACCTGAAAAAAATGCAGAGTTGAAAGGCCTGATGTGTTGTTCCGATGGTCTTTTGTTTCCCTTAATTGTGAATAATAGTTGAAACCTTCAATGAAGGTTTTAGTAAAGGTTTCTTGGATGCAGTCATATTCTAATAAATCACTTGACTTTTATGGATACATATATGTAATGTCCTTGGTGTACCAGTTTTATTCAGTCTTGAAGGGCTTTCCTCTGCAATGATCACAAAGTTAAGTCCACGTTTCCTACAAAAATAGTAGCACTTCGGCTAACATCCTCGTTCATCGTTTGTAGGAATCTTCATATTGTAGATTTTCTTCATTATATAGGCTAATAACAATTAATAGTAAATTCTTAAAAAAAAAAACATTATCTCTATTTTTTTCTACTTGAGGGTGTTCAATGACTTCCCTATGTTTCCATAGTAAACAAATCGGCTCTTTCAATGATTGTTCAAGAATTAATATAGGTATAGAATTAGCCCCATGTCAAACCATGTTAAATGAGATTTAGTTGCTTTTGTATTTTCTTTATGTTGTCTATTTCGAGCGTTATGTCATAACTTGGCCAGTCAGTTACCTTTTTAAAAGCCTTGTCCGGTACTAATTTTGCAATCGGTTTTAAACTAACTTCTCGATGAGCTAGACTTGAAACTTCACACATAGCTCATAAATGAATGACAATGCAATATTATATCATTTTATTTTCATAGCTAGTTTTTATTAGCTCACTTTCTTGTCCGGTTTTATTTTATCATTTTATTTTCATATTTCCCTTGAGCTATAAGCACCATGGGCTTCCGAAGTTTCAATGTTTACATTTTGGAAGAATGTAAATAATATATCAACTGAAGTCAGCTGTAAATACTATGATTTGAAAGTTTGTTCAAAGAGCAGAGGTTAAGAGGTACAGTTTCTGCTCCCGAGAGATTTAAAAAATAATCAAAATTTCAAAGTAAAGATAAAGATCTGATTACAGATTATCAATTGCATGCGCCCCACATTTTTGTTTTCAATCTTACAAGTATTTTTTTCTCTACACATAGCCTATTTATAAATTATTTTCTACTTTTTAGTGCGTTAAAAAACGTGGTATTAAAAAAAAATTATATACAGGGGGTCCCGTAAGTAAACAGCCAAACTCCGGGAAATGGTTCTATGAGTCAAAATGAAGAGAAAATCAAGAATAACATTTTTTCCAAAATCGCTTCGTTAACCAGATATCCGCCATTTTGTATATTTTATATAAACATTTTTATTTTTGAATTGTTTCAACCGATCTTTATAAAACTTGGTATGTAGGTTAAGGTAAAAAATACCAATGTTAGAAAAAAGATTCATCTTGATTCAACTTAAAATTTCAAAATGGTGGCCATTTTAATTTTTTAAACTTAAATTACTCATAAACGGCTAATGTTATGGAAAAATGTCAAGTACACTTTTATTTAGCATTTTTAATTCCCTATCAAACAATACCAAGTTCAAAAAGATCGAATAAGAAATACCTGAAATTTCACGATTTTTAGTTGTAAAATGGGGTAGAATAAGGCAGAAGCTAGTCAGGTTTGCCCCATTTTACAACTAAAAATTGTAATATTTCAGCTGTAAAAAAAAAGTCTGTAAACATTTCTGCTAGAATGCTCATTTGTGTGTTAAACTAATTTTGGCTGTGCAAATGATATCTCAAATTAAAATTATTTTCTCAAATTGCAGTATGATAACTATAATATACAAAGTTTTTTTTTGACGATAAAATTAAGCCATAGGCATATAACAGTAAATTAAACATTATACAGATATTCTTTGAAACTATTTTATCATAGTCACAGAAGATAAATCTGTATACAATCTTCTGATTGGTTTGGATTGCTCAAATAAATACTATCTTTCTGTAGATTCTTCCTAATGAGTGTAAAAGTTAAATTTAAGAGTGTGAAACATTGTCCTAAAAGGTTGAAAAATTAAACTTGAAGGAAACAATCCTGTGTTTAGGTCTTATTGTTTTGATACAATTGAAAGTATCATTAGAAGATAAATCAATATAATTGGCCGTATCTAATTTATAATATCTTCCCAAGCATTATCCCCATCACCAAGTAGCAGGATTGCTATTATGCACATTTTCATATAGCAAAAACTAGTTCCGAGTTTATGCCTAGCTAGGAAAAAACCAATCTTATCCTATAGACTCATTGGATTTTTGCTAGAAATCTTTTCACCATTTTGATGAAGCACCCAAATGTTGAAAATATCATAATTTTTTAAACATCCCTTTTGAGATTGTATTTACCGAAAGATTATTTCTTGTTAAGTTTATAGAATATAGATTAATTTAAACTATTTACAGATGCGATTGCCAGTGCACAAAATGTGAGAGTTGCGCCATCACTAAGAAGCCAGAAGGGTGAGAATTGTTTTGAAATAATTGTAGGGTAGTTATATAGGATTAGTTATATAGGTTATATATAGGTAAGTTATAAGTTATATAGGTAGATAGGATAGTTATATTCTGAATGCCGGCATTTTTCCTAGAAGCATGATGCTATTAAATAAAGAACAAAATAAATTTTAAGTGGTTCTACAATTGAATATAGCCTAGGCCTGCCTATCAGCGTTTCAAATTAATAAAAATACAATAATTGTATTTTTGACATAATCTTATCTTAGGAAAACCCCTTTTTGGTACAACTCATAGATTTTAAAACTTGACAGGTGTTGTCTGATAGCCTATTTGAAGCAATAAATTTTATTTTTCATAAGAAATGTCTTGTAAAAAATTGTCAAATTGCCAAAAAAAGTTACACTTTTAAGCACTGTCTTAAATACAAACTGATCAACTTTTATATTCAAATGGATTAAAATACCGAAATGAATAGTATTTGTCTATTTAAATGAATTAACAAACAACATAACTGAACTGTATAGAACAATTGTTCATATCTGCTCAGTATTGTCATATCCATAGTAACTATGACACATTTCACATTTGTGTCAATAAGCAACATTCACATTACTTTTGTCATAACAAATCTAAATATCTAGACATTTCTCATATAGGTAGGCTATTAAGTTTATTTGTATGTCAGCTGGAATATAGTGCTGGCCCAAAAATATAACAGTGCAAAGTTTTCCTTTTTAAAACTCTTTGTGGTCTCTAACTAATCATAATCAACATATTTATTTGTTTAGGTGCAATATGGTCAAAGCTAAAAACCAACTTTCAATGGTGGGAAGTTGACATTCTGTTCCGAATCACTGGCAGAGGTCGGATTGGAGCTGATGGATTGGTAAGTTTTCCGAGTTCTCAAAAATTTTTCTATAGTTGAACCTTAGGCTGTTTAGATACTTTGAGTTATGTCATGTTTAATGGTATGCATAGTTAAAGATTCAATTAGTCAAACAAAATTGGAAAGTGTAGGAATATGCAGAATGGAGTTGGTTGAGACAAGATAGGGATAGAACTTTTAATCCCAAAAATTTATAACTACAATTAGTGAAGTTTTTTATTTCACAATTAGCTTCATAACACATTTGACACATGTAATGGTAATAATTAAAAAGTGTTAAAAAACAATCATACAATTGTAGTTTAAAAGACGATTGTTTATTTTGGCAGACAAATAACGCAGGTAGGAAAGATTGAAGTTAACAGAAGTTGCCAACCTTAGCAAACAACCTTGCTACTATGTATCATAGCTCATTAATTCTTAACATACTCTGATTTCACAATAGGTCCTGTTTTAATTTCAAATGATTTCTGTTCTATTATCTGACTTTACTTTTTGACTTTTTGATGCACTACTGGGAGCAAAAAATATATTTATAAAACCTATATCTTAGTTTTAATTTGTAAGTAAGGATTTCAAAATTAGTTGGAAGTATACCAGAATAAGACTCAAAATAAAAGTGTTTGTCAAATTGTCTCTTAAAAAGTTATGCACATATAGTTATCTACATATTTTGCATTATGCACAATAACTGTACTGCTAATTCAGTAGCAACTGTAAGTTCTAGTGTCGTTTAAAGGCTTCAGTTTCACTCAGTCCTGTCTGCTGATGGTAGCTCAGTTGACTAAGGCGTTGCAGTGACGAGTGTAGGGCTGAGGTCTTTCTACATGGGCAGATTCAAATCCTGCACATGTGCAATCTATGTCTTACTAGTATTTAGCTTAGCTGGTGAAAGAGCCCACCTTAATGAAAGGTTTACAGTATATTTGGAAGTTGATGGAATTAGTGATTTTAATAAGGATTACACTCAACCCCTCTTTTGCTTCTTTTTAAACACTAGTATGAGGATGAGGACACAGGTTTTTCTTTTTGGGCTCTTATTTTGAATTAATATGGTTATATCGGGTTAAAAGATATAGCCTAAAATTTTTAAGGCATAATAATAGGACATTTAAAAAGATAGTGGTTATAAATCAGCAAAGTAGATAAGAGCTATCACATCTTAAGCGACCAAATGTTACTTAGTATTGTGAAATGCAGTAGTATGAGTGTTAATAAAGATACCTGGTTCCAATATATCTTCCACTAACCATCACTAAATCACAAACATTTCCTGTCCTAGTTCAAACTCTATTGGATAGAAGATAACTACTTTGTCAAATTGCACAATAACACCTTAGCTGCCTATCACAGCCAGCTTTTGTGATGTTTAATATATCTAATTAATATAGTGAACAGAGAAATAATTGTGTAAATGGACTTATTCTGATTCGTAATAGTAACTTGATATAGCTAACGTGAATCAAATATTAAATGCATAAATTTGGAATATTGATCACCAGACCACGACCATTTGGTAAACCTATTGTCTATTGTCGAGCCTACACCCTTCCCCAACCCCTACTATAATATCTACTCATTCTATTGGTACTCATCCAATATGAAGATGTCCTCTTTCACACACACACACACACACTACATTCCACTACTTCGTTGTCTCTTTGCGCGGGTGAATCTTTTGGCTGCGTGCTCACCTAGTCTAGTTGCGTAACGTGACCTTACGCGTTGGACTTGTGTCTTGTAGCGGATCGCTACATAAGGAATGGAGTATTTGGGCTATCATTAAATTGGCTTACCATATTTTACAAAGCGATCCTTTAAGCGAAATGTAAAGCAGTCAAATGTGTACTTACCCAAGCTGGAGACCCAAACAGGTGGTTCAGGTGGTCTGAACTGTATTAAAACAAGTATGGGAGTTATGAGCAAAGTCCTACCTCTATTACCGGTAACACATTTGTGGCAATTCCTAAGTTAACTTGGGTTTGTTTCCCAGTAGTTTTTAATTTTCGATTTTTCTTTCAGGCATTCTGGTTCACTCAGAACAAAGGAGATTATGATGGAGAGGTGTTCGGAAGCTCGGACAAATGGGTTGGTCTCGGAGTTTTCTTTGACTCTTTTGATAATGATAACAAACACAATAACCCATACATCATGGCCGTCATCAACGATGGAACCCGACAGTTTGACCATGCTAAGTAAGAAATAAATGCAGTTTATTAAAAAAAAAAAAAAAAAAAAAAAAAAAACTGTAGCATTAGAACAGAACACAACCCACCATGGTCTTTGTAGATTGATTGTGAATGGTCAATCTGGTTTCATCAAAACATGGATTTCCCAGAGTTGGTTATAAGTTTGCCATACCACTATCAAGACTGGTGGCTAGCGGAAAATGTTTGGCTACTGTTGCTTTTTCATATTTCTAGGGGTGGCTGAGTAGCCGAGTTAACAGTGCTCAAACAGTATCCTAAGGATCCCATGAGGGATGGATGCTATAGCCAGTTCCTATACCCTATGTTGATTCTATACCCAGTTATTGGGCTATTTAATTAGTGATGCAATCTAATAGCTGGGTGACATTACACATTAACAATACAGGTGTATGGACCATCATCTCACAAAACTATAACATACGTCATGATATAGAAAGACACTCTGACAAAATATAAATGATTTAAAACATTTTTGTTGAAAGTTTCAGATCTTTTGACAATATTTATTACTAACAATATACTATTTTACACTATAGGCGAATACATTACACGGTTTTAAATTTCAACAGTTTGGCCAGGGTAACTTCAAAATATTAAATTGTAGGCCTATCATAACATTTAAAGATAAAATTAGATGCATTAAACGGGTTGTGAACTTAGCAATAGTAACATAATATCTAAAACAGTCAAAAATGAACTACTAGCCTATTTACTGGCATAAATTGCTCATAATATGGACAAGGAAATCTAACTTGATTCCTGTCGTCTTTTAAAATGCGAAGTCTTAACATAACTTTCTAATCTATACAAAACAATTTAAAAACAACTCTTTAAGCTTGTTTAAAACTTTTTAAGTGAACTTAGCTGAACTTAGTCTTATAGTTTGTAGGTCTCATTCCACCCTCTTATTCTACCGGTGTGAGCAAATTAAAATGTTCAGTATAAATCTTTTCAAGGTTTTTAATTCTTCACTCTAAACATATCTTTAGTTGTAAAATAGGTGCCATGCTTAACAATATAATGCTTCACATAAAACATATGAAACGGGCAAGCTATTCACTGATATTTCCAACAATACACGTTCTTCTAATGTATTATGGAAAATCAATATTTTTCACCTAAAAGTCATATATATGTCATATCCTGCTTTGCATACTCCTCCTTACTAGTTTACCATTTTGAGGTAAAACCCTATGGCTGTCCAAAGTTTGTAATGTTCAGGTACTGATGTGAATTTTTTTATGAAACGTCCACAATGTAGGCATTATCTTCTTGATGGTCTGAGCTATAAGCTGTATACAGTTTTATTTCAATTGAGCCCCAGATGAATGCAATCATAGTGTGGAGGCACATTCATAACATTTTGTTTGTGTATTGGTAAACTTGTGTTCTTATTGACTAGTGTATTTATATGATCCAGTTAATCAGCTGTCGACAAGAATATAAATAATTACTGTTCCACTTTTGTTGATTTTCAACTTACAACTTTTACAGTGACGGAGGAAGCCAGATGATCGGTGGATGTTTGCGTGATTTCCGAAACAAGCCTTTCCCAACAAGAGCTAAAATTGAATACTACATGAACACATTGACGGTAAGTTCATATTATAGTATTGGCAGTTATTAGTAATTAATCTATTAATCTTATATTATAACAACGCCTGCTTGTATATTTTACGTGGGTCGTCCAAAAAGTAAAGAACTTTTTAGCATGGTTAAATAAAAACAAAACATATCCAACGACAAACTTCATTTACAAAGCCACTATACTTTATCCTTATTTTCTATGTAATCCCTATTGTTGTTAGTTAAGACACTTGTTGTAATGTAATGTAATGGAATACAACATCGGAATAGAAAACCTGGTCCCACATTACTTTGAGAGATTTTAGCCATGTTGTCACTTCTTATTTAAGTTTCTCGTCCTTTCCAAACTGTTTCCCCCCCCCCCAAAAAAAATGCCTTTGACTTTGTAAAAAGGTGAAAATCACTCAGTGCTAGGTCAGGGCTGTAACTGATGATGAAAGATTGTCCACTTTAGACTTTGAAGTTCCTGCCACGTTCGTGTTGAAGCATAAGGCCAGGCATTGTCGGGAATGAAAAAGACTTTGGCTGACAGCGTTCAACATCTCATGTTTTGAATGCGACGGAGTTGTTGTCAGTCTCACAATAGGATTCTGAGTTTATTGTTGCACCTCATGACATAAAATCAATATGGATTAATCCCTTACAGTCCCAAAAACTTTTTGAGCACTCAAAAATCAGGTTAAAATTTTCACTTAACATTTTGTAGGATTTCCAAACTATCAATGTAGGCTATATACAGGGTGAATTTTAAATGAGTTCCCCCCCTACTTTTTTCTACATTTCTTAAGATATCATTTCCGGACCATGTCAGATCATTGTTTAGTAGAAAAGACTTGACTAGAGATCATTTAACCCTGTATAGTAGTAAGTACTTCATTTTGACTGGGTATAAATTTTTGGCCGCCATCTTGGATCCGCCATATTGGATACAAAGTTTTTTTTTTCAAATGTAAAGGTAGGGTTGTGACCCATTATTTCAAAACCAGAATTTTACGCTGATTACAATGCCGCAATTAGTTTTTCAAAATCTTGATTCGTTCTAAAGTTATGAGGACTTTTTATAACTTTATTTTTAGCGCATTTTAACATTGTGCATTTACAAACTAAGACCATAATCTGAAAATAGTGCTAGATAAAGAAAAGTATACACCACCATTCATTGTCGACATATTTTCACTTGGTTATGATGGATGTAGTTTTTTCAGCCGTCATCTTGGATCCGCCATTTTGAAATGTGATCAATTAATTTAAATATGAAGATGGTGTTGTGACCCATCATTTTGAGTTATTTTTTTATGCTGAACTCAATGCCGCAATCCGTTTTTCATTTGCATCTTTGGATTTTGAAATATTGAAATTTTAAATAAGAGTATTTTAATATTTCATCAAGAAAGCTTGATAGCCAAAAACGGATTGCAGCATTGAGTCCAGTATAAAAAAGTAGTTCAAAATGATGGGTCACAACACCACCTTCATATTTAAATTAATTGATCACATTTCAAAATGGCGGCTCCAAGATGGCGGCTGAAAAAACTACATCCGTCATAACCAAGTGAAAATATGTCGACAATGAATGGTGGTGTATACTTATCTTTATCTAGCACTATTTTCAGATTATGGTCTTAGTTTGTTAATACACAATGTTAAAATGGGCTAAAAATAAAGTTATAAAAAGTCCTCACAACTTTAGAACAAATCAAGATTTTTAAAAACTAATTGCGGCATTGTAATCAGCGTAAAATTCTAGTTTGAAATAATGGGTCACAACCCTACCTTTACATTTGAAAAAAAAACTTTGTATCCAATATGGCGGATCCAAGATGGCGGCCAAAAATGTATACCTAGTCAAAATGAAGTACTTACTACTCAACAATGATCTGACGTGGTCCGGAGATGATATCTTAAGAAATGTAGAAAAAAGTAGGGGGGGAACTCATTTAAAATTCACCCTGTATAGTTTATATTTATATCACAAATTCATATAAATACATCATGGGGATTGGTCAATATTAAGACCCTTCTATATGAACAATAGTACTCATAAAATTATATGTATTCCCTTTATTGCTTTGACCGCATTTTATTGTAATTTAATTTACAGTCAGTTATATTATATTCAAACATTTTTATTCATCATAACTAATGTACATTGATGAAATAGTGTCAAAATACTTAAAATAAAAGTACTATATTTATTTCTGGGAGGTGGAAAACTCATAAAAAGTATATAAAGCTAAATTTATTAGTTTACTATATGCTCTTTTAGAACTTTCTGAAATGTTAGGGCTTTTTCTTTTTTTATGAATTTAGGGACAAAATTTAGAAAAAACTTTCCCAGCATATGAGGGGGTTTAAAAAAAATAATTTGTGAGGCTGGACAAACTCCCTTTCCCTCCTGAAATTATAAGAACGCAATGAATTTTCAATTTAATTCTTCCTTTGATTCTTTTTTTTTGTGATTATAATTGTTTAATGAATATGTTGCTATAAACTGTGAAAATTTGCATGTAAAGATTAAAAATTTGTACCAATGTAAAACTGTTGTAAAATGTTCTTTTGCTGAATCATCTCGTTTAAGCTTAAGTAAGCATAATTCTACTAGGCTAGCCTCATTTTGCTGCTTCAGATTGCTATAAAACCTTGGAAGCAAACACTAAAAAATCTTCCTGCACAGATTATGAAAGTGTCAATCCACACAAAATTTGTAAAACACCACCTATTTGCGAAGAGCAAGAGATTGCAATTGGAACTCTTAGGAAGCCGCCAATTAGCGCCAAGCTTCTTCTTGAGGGAGAGACATTTGAAGACTTTTTCAACAATAACATTGAAGAATTTCTAAAACAAATCAAAGAAGAAATTCGTGTCCTTCCCAGCAAAGAAACACAACTACTGCAGCCGCAATATGAAGAAAATCAACTCCCACTAGTTCTATCTCCGTCAGTGAAAGATAAATCCAATCTAGACACAGCAGTCGAAATCGTAGAAGACAATCATTATTTTTTAGGACAGAGCCACAAGATAAAGTCAAAGTTAAAAGACCCAACAGGGTTCAAGAGAAGTTTTATAAATTCAGCGAGAAAAATGCCAAAGGTTTAACTATTTTCCACCAAAATACAGACAGGATCAGTAATAAAATTGAAAGAATGAACCATTTACTCCACTTAACGAATCCAAATTTAGTAGTGATCACCGAACATGGCCAAAACGAGAATGACATAGCTAATACCAGGCTTATCAACTACAGTCTTGTCTCGGCTTTCAGCAGGAACAATGTGATGAAGGGAGGTGTGGCCATATACAAACATGATAGCATAAACAATGATATAATCTCATTAAACCTTGAGCACTTCAGCACCCCTTTGATTTGTGAGGTAACAGCCATTTCGTTTGTTATAAACAAGAAGTCACGCTTGAATGTTCTGGGTGTTTACCGCCCTCCCAAGAATGATAAGGAATCTTTCTCTCTTGCTCTGCAGACACTCTCGAACGTGCTAGACGAGTGGACTTCAGCCAACAACACTACCGTTATCATCGGGGATTTCAATGTTGACCATCTTCAACCATCCAATGAGAGGACGCTTCTCAATGAACTTCTAGCGACCTATGACATTCAGAGATTGGAACTTCCTCCTACCAGGATCACCAAGGACACATCGTCTTCCATCGATATGTTCTGCATCTCCTCCCAGCGCTTGGGTGAAGTGGATTTTCAGGTGGCTCAAACTGGAATTTCGGACCACACAGGACAACTGTTCAACCTATTGCCTGAAATCAGAGAAAGTGTGCCTATGACGGCAACCCTAAGACACATCAACAATGACACTTTACAACATCTGAAGATTCTTCTTGCTGAACAAGATTGGAATGAAGTGCTACAATGTGGCAACGTCGAAGAAGCTTACGACAATTTCATCACGACTGTGACGCTCGCTTTAAACTCAGCTTGCCCTGTTAGGAGATCCCGAGCGAAACCTCGCAGTACTGTTAAACATGTTTTTGATGAGGAGGCTGGCTTACTGAAGACACAGTATCTCGAAGCGCACAACATCTACATCTTGAGTGGGAGAAATGAAGACAGGGAAATAGCTAATGAGTTAAAAAGGTCCTATGACTTAAAACTGAGATCATTAAGAAAGGCAGCCAATGCAACCTACATCTCAGAGTCCAACAACAAAAGTAAAGCGGTCTGGAAAATTATTAACAGTGAAAGGCAACCAAAGAGAGAACCTTCAAACACAGCACATCTGAACATAGGCGAAACAGTCATTGATGATCCTGTTGATGTCTCTAATGAGTTCAACGCCTTTTTCACGTCTATTGCAGAAGAGACTCTTAAGAAAATACAGACTGAGAAAACGGATCACATCCAATCCCATGAATGGCAGTTTGAATATCCAACATCAGTGTTCACTCCTACATCGAAGAAGGAACTTGTCAAGATAATCAACAGCATGGAAAACAAAACTTCTTCCGGGCTGGATGAGGTGTCTTCGTTGATGTTGAAGCGATGTCATGAGGAACTTATAGAGCCTCTAAACCATATTATCAACCTTAGTTTCAACCAAGGCCACGTCCCCAAGAAAATGAAGTCATCCAAAGTGGTCCCTCTTCACAAGTCGGGAAGTAAATACGAGCTGGGCAATTATAGGCCTATTTCCTTGGTCTCAACTTTCTCAAAGTTGATGGAGAAAGTGGTTCTGTCCAGAATAGTTGACCACCTGGAGAGGAATGGCATCATCTTGGATAAACAGCATGGCTTCATCAGCAATAGATCCACATCTACCGCCTTGGTTTCTCTAGTTGAGGATGTGATAGACAAGCTTGAGGAGGGCCAAACCGTCATGGGCATATTTCTCGATCTAAGTAAGGCCTTTGACTGCCTCAGTCACAGTCTGATCCTGGCCAAGCTCACTGCCCTTGGCTTTGAGGAGAGAGCCCTTGCATGGTTTCAAAGTTACCTAAATGGTAGAGATCAAGTTGTGGAAATCAAGCAAACCAAGAACAATATATGCACCGCTGTGAGATCCAGCAAACTTGCAGTCAATAGAGGTGTCCCTCAGGGATCAGTCTTAGGCCCTGTGCTGTTTGTTCTATTCACGGCCGACTTTCCCGCTTACACAAGTCCTTTCTGCAACATGGTAATGTACGCTGACGACACGGTGCTCATCACATCAAACAAGGATAAAGAAAAGCTTGAAGTTGAATCGTTCATTGCCCTAAACATGGCTGTTGAGTTCTGCAATATGAACGACCTAGTGTTCAACGAATCCAAGACCAAGCAGCTCAACTTTGGAACGCTGAGGGAGGAGGTGTCTGATTTCCCCGATATTGAACGGGTTGAGGCCACAAAACATCTGGGGGTGGTGATCGACAGCGCGCTGACTTGGTGGGGACATCTGGATGGGCTCTGCAGCAGCCTTAGTAGTGTTCTATTTGCTCTCCGAAGAGTGAAAAATATAAGTACTCCGGAAGCTGTCATGACAACCTACAACTCTTTGTTTGAGAGCCGGCTGCGCTATGGGATTGTTCTTTGGGGCGCCACTTCGCAGAGCAATCTAAAGCGTGTGCTCACCATCCAGAAGAAAGCGGTTCGGATGATTGCTGGTCTTGGTTGGAGGGACAGCTGCAGAGAGGCCTTTAAAGACTTGAAGATCCTAACTGTGGTAAATATTTACTTACTGGAGGTGATCTGTTTGGCTGTCTCAGCAGATCCGCAACGAAACAGAGATGTCCACTCCCACCGCACTAGGAATGCCTCAAACTTCAACCTTCCAGCACATCGTACGGCAAGATTTCAACGGAAGCCTACCTACGCCGGAGCAAAGCTCTTTAATGTCCTGCCGGATGAGGTGAAGAGGACTAATCCCGATAAGCTGAAGAAGATCCTGTCTGTTTGGTTGCTGTCACGCCCATTCTATAACATCGAGGAGTTTAAGAACTGGAAGAATGACTCTGTGTAAAGCAAGATCATAATACTCTTTTCTAATTTTGTGTAATGACACCATTTTCAATCTTGATGATTGTAAAATAAAGATTTCTCTCTCTCTCTCTCTCTCTCTCTCTCTCTCTATCTATATTTAATATTTTGTTGACCCATACAATGCTAAACGGAATGAAAGATGAGAGTGAATGTGAGCAAAATATATACTTTTTAGATTTTGGGGCATTCAAATTACAATAAAGAGACATTTTTGATAATGCAAAAATTCCAGAGTTAATTTTGATTAGGTAACTTATATGTACATGTTAAGGCATACACATATCCTCTGGCAGAGAAGATATTAGTTTTATTCTGTGCATAAACATCTACATCAAGCTAGCCTAGATGGGCAAACAGGCAAAAATAGTCAATGTTCCATCTACCCGGCTGGAATTCTACTAAATTATTCCCTTAAAATTAATTGTCCGATTTATTTTCTATTTAGCCTACATATCATTAATTTTGATGAGTACTTAGGTTTGCTGATACAGGGAAGAAGATATGGGTTTTTTTATTGAAATATTCATAGCGTAGTATGAAGTAAACAAAATTTCAAAATTTCATTAAAATATGTCCATAGACAAGCAAACTACAACAGTTTATTTATTCTCCATAAGAATAACATGGTAATTTTAAATTTACACTTTTCTGGGGATTTTTTCCGTAACCGTTAACAATACAACAATGCTTCAATATACTAAATTATTAGGGTTTTTTCAGCTCTACAAAATGGTTTGGAAATAAATTGCAAAATTTTATGTTTACAGGGTGAAAAATGGGAAAACACATTTTCACCCTATAAAACCTCCCATGAACCCCCGTTCCCATAGTACGATCATGCTGGTTCGCAAACTCGTTTGAATAAATGTAGGTTTATACCAAATTTCATCAAAATCGGATCATTTTTGCTCAAGTTATCGTGCCAACGGACACACACACATATATATATATATATATATGAATTTGAAAGAATAAGAATTAATTAAGAATTAAAAAAATTCGTTCCCGGGTCCAGGTCTTACCATGAGACCTACGGTAATAGCTTATTCCCTATGTGGGAAATTCGCTAAAACTGCAAAACTAACGCAAAACTAACAATACTTAACAAAACTCAGTCAAACACACAATTGAAAGATTGTTTGAAAGTCGAGTTTCAATTGACGTTTGGCGTTTGTTAACATACATTAATCATCACACATCTGTATCACATTGATAGCATGGTTCAAACAGACTGAAAGTAAATATTTGTTACCTGTGGATTCATTTGGTTTAAACAGTTTGAGCCTTTGTTTGCATCCTAACGATGAACAGGCTGAAAAAGATACAACCAATTTAAGTTCTAATTTAACGACACTTAAAAAAATATCACTGCAAGATGATTATATAATCACTTAGAAAAAATAACTTGATAAATTGAGTGATTTAGATGTGTATGATTTGTATTGGTAAGTATACACTTTAAACTGAATTTGATGTTTTAACAACTAAAATATTTAAGCAAGAGTGATTAATAGTTTTATAATTATTTTAGAAAATTCACCGTATAAGGAAATAAGGGCGATTTAGGATTGAAAACTGGGCTTTCCAATTTTGACAATCAAAACATAAAATTTTGCAATTTCTCTCCACACCTTTTTGTAGAGTTTAAAAAACAAGTAATGTTGTACATTGAAGTGTTGTTGTAGGCCAAATGGTTACGGAGAAAATTCCAAAAAACTGCAATTTAAGATTCTCTTGTTATTCTTATGAAGGACGAGTAATCTGTTGTAGTTGGCTAGTTTAAAAATATATCATTTGGATCAAATTTGATTAATTAATTTATTTTGTATTCAGCTATTAACATTTTGCTATTAAAACTCACCTTAAAACATTCCTTGTATCAGCAAAGCTAAGTACTTATTAAACCTAAAATATCATTTGAATAAGTAATAAATCTGACATATTTAAAGAAATATTTTAGTGAAAATGTAATCAAGCTAATGGAAATTCGCTTAGTCTGCAGGTTTGCTGCGACAGGGGTATTTTGTTTTAATATCCCCACTCCTATGAGGCTTGGATCAAATTTGGTAAATTTATTTATTTCATACCCAGCCATTAACATTTTGCTAAACAACCCTTTATAAGATTTATTGTAGAAATACTAAAAACTAACGTTTCTGTACACAAACCTATGTAGAGTAGAACCTTGATTATTCCCGGGTAAAGGGGGGAGAGAGACCACGGATAACTGAAAACTACGGTTAACTGGACATTACATAAACATACATTACAAACAAATACAACCGCTTACTATCTATAGGCCATTAATGTGATAATTTGTATATTAGCTTTGACTATTATAATACAACAACTAGACATTCCATCCCTATGTTAAAGTTGTAGCCAGGTTTTTAATACAATTTGTCTTAGTTGATGTGAACCACCTACAGATTGTGCTGATCTAAATTACTGATTTCTGTCAATTACATGATGGCTTTTACCAAGCCAAACTGATGGAATGACTTATTATGAGCTATAGCAACTGTTGTGACCCAGCAACTATGTCAGTAACGAAAAATAAGGTACAAAATAGAGTTTTAGATGCTAGTGCAATCTGTGACTGGCTCACACAACTACATTCTTTTTTAGTAAAAAATTGGCGACAGCTGATCCATATAGATGGGTTGTCTTCTTCTGTATCCAATAGTCAATGATATTAGGCTACATCCTCAAAATACAATTAGTAAACTATTGCACAATCATGATGTGATTAGGCGTTAAGGTCTTAACCTTGGTTCAGTAATAAAAACTGTAATGTTTAAAATCACAGCTTACTAAAACTAAACAAAAAAATCCAAACACTATTCAGCAATAAATCATGTAAAGAACAGAACAGAAAGTCTAGTAAGCTACTGCTAGTCATAGGCTATTGATGCTACGTGCTGTTTCAGGACAGAAGAATTTAGTAATGTAAAAACATTAGATAACTCCTAAAAAGGTATAAAATAAAATCATAGTACTGTACTTGTAAAGATAGATAATGACAATAGTCGTAAAATAAGATTATTATAACAATAACATAAAAACATCGCTTATTCTTTAGAATCCAAATCCATTGTTGTAGCCCCGAAACTGCTATTTAGACTAAAATAAGGCCTATATGTTATGTAGGTCATGTTCCACAATGGAAACACCAACAATGAGGCTGACATGGAAGTATGTTTGAGAGTGGAGGGGGTGACATTGCCGTCAAGCGGACATTTTGGTCTCTCTGCAGCCACTGGGGGACTAGCAGGTAAACTACAACTAAATAAAGAATATTATAATGTCACTACTTCTGTCAATATTGTAATTTTTCGTAGCAATTTTAAAATATTGGCATACCAAAAGGACTACTAATTTGTAATTTAAGTTTTAGATTTTCTTTACAAATTCTAGGAAAATATCACTATATAGCCATACTGTGTAGCTGTAAACTCACACAAAATCTCTAAAGGGTTCTGTGAGTGTAGGCATTATCCATATAGCATGAGGGTTTTTAAAATTTTATCTAAAAGCTCACCATATGGTGAGTCGGTGGCTCAGTCGGTAGCGTCGCGGACTTCGGGCCCAAGGCAGTAGTGTCGAGGGTTCGGATCCTGGTCACTGCCACAAACTTTTATCAGTACAGTTCACCTTTGTACTGTATCGGCTCACCCCTTGCTTTGCTGGATACGTTCCACGCACAGATCTGTAGTCTATGTGGACGGGCAAATGCAAGGTTAAAAAAGGCCGCCAACCCCTTAAAAAAAAAAAAAAAAATATATTTAAAGGGTTTGAACAACTATTTTGTTGGGAATCCATAAATATTTTCTATGTTTACATAACTACCCTGTAAAGTAAAACCCCGTTTTATCCAAAACCGCAGTAAAATTCAATTCAATTGACAAATTATCCAGGTGACGAGAATTGTCCACCGTAGCTTTGGAAGTAGGCGCATGGACTCAGTCATTGTCGTGATGCCACTGATCCTCCTAGCTTGATTTGCTGACCTCTTGATGACCAGTAAGGGTAATATATTAATTGCTGCTTTTTGTGTTGCAGATGACCACGATGTACTGCATTTCCTGACCACCAGTCTGTACCCACCCGGAACTTCACCCCAGGGAGCAACCGTTGGTCAAGCAGGAGTCAGTCCTGAGGACCATGAGAAACTGGCCAAAGAGTACGCTGACTATCAAAGGAAACTTGATCAGCAGAAAGAAGAGTGAGTAGTGCCAATCATAGCAGTAAACTTTAGCATTCAATGAATAGGACAAAATACTTCAGCAGCATATCTTACAACAAACCCAGAACTACGGATATGTAATTTTTTATTATTTTAGGCCTGGAAATCCAACCAAAAATTAATTGCTTAATGTTATATCAGGGGCCATTGAATTGCAGCTGTTGTGCATTCCAGTATTTGGATCTTTCAGGTTGTCTAGAAGTCAGTACTATTTTGATATCAAAGTCGAAAATTTTTTGCCCCGATCACACTAGACGACAATCATGTTTCCGTGACCGCTAAAGACGACGATCATGTTTCAGTGATCACGGGAGACGATGATGATGTCTACACGGGCGCGGGAGATGTTCATGACTAAAGCACGATCGCGCCAGACGACGATCACGTTTTCGTGACCGTGGGAAAAGTGATCATGATTTTTCCCCAATCGTGCCAGATGATGATGTTTTCATGGCCGTGGAAGATAGTCACGATTTTGCCGGACGATTATTACGTTTCCGTTACCGCGGGAGTCGATTATGCCTACATGGCCGTGGGAGATGTTCATGAGTTGTCCGCGATCGCGGAAGACGATGATGATATCTACTCAGCCGCGGAAGATGTTCATGATTTTGCCACGATCGGGGACGACGACGATGACTCTAAGATGGCTTGCTGCAGAGATTGGTACTTGCACCATTGCTGTTCAATGTGTATACTGCCTACATTCCACTCACCAGGGAAAGAGCGTGGGATTCTGGTCTCCTAGGGGCTGGGCTCAAATCCAGCCCAATCACCAATTGATTTAGATTTTCCCACTAGGCCTAGCCTGAAGTAATACGGTCATGGGCCTAGCGTCCTATTATGTGAAGGTGGGACATGAAAAAAAATAATGTATAAATTCCACTCACTCTTCCTCTGAAATTGGTCTTATATGCCATTCAAGCCATGTAAATGGTGGTACCGGTATCATGGTTGGTATCATACCAAATGCTTTCCAAATCAGATTCATCACAGAAATGTATATTTTTTGCAGCTATCGTAAAGAACATCCTGAAGTTGCAAAAGACTCAGATGCAGATCTCGATGAGTGGTACGAGTCAGACAATCAGCGAGAGCTGCGTCAGATCTTCTCAGGCCAGAGCCAGGTAAGCTATTGCAGCAGCAACAATTATTTTATGCTTCTTGTGTTAAAAATTTCAAGTAAGTTTTATCATTAGCTCTCAGCAGTAATTAAACTGGAATCTTTAATCCATGAACCAAGAATCAAAGTTAAAACTGTTTTGCTTTGGAGGAATATGTAGGATGTTACTATTTGATTTGCAGCGTTTTGTATAGCTTTAAGTAATTTATGCATTGCTAATAAATATTAGTGATGTTAACTCAACTGTAAAAAACATTATAATGAAACTATTTTCCCAGCTAGTACACCTTTAACATCTCAGAATCCATTGTAATACAATAGGCCTAATGTGCCTACCAAGTCTTAAAATGATTCACTGTAGAATACATGTCTACGGTTGGTATTTGCGACTAAGGGCCTCAAAAGTATTCCGGACGTACACAAAATGACAACTATTTTCTTTATAACTGGATTTTTTTGTTTCTTGTGCCAGAGTGGTAACTTTCCCATTTAGGGATTTCTGTTAGATTCTTTCTGATATGATATGGAAATAATATTTTGTAATTTTAGGTTATAAGAAAATCATGTAAAAGAATTAACACAATCACTACAGGTGTCAGGAGACTACACATACAGAGGGTGTGACGTCCAGTAATGAACCTGTTAACTAGGGATGGACGGGATTGAATCTTTAGTTTGGGACAGGACGGGATTTTTATGTCCTTCCCAATTTTCGGGATGGGACGGGACGGGATTTTTTCTTCTGCATAAAAAAGGGTTGTTTTAATATTCTTGAATATTGCAGTTACCAAAGAGACAAACAAAAACAGTTTTTACCGTTTGTGGCACTGATCTATAAAAACCAAGAAATGGGTAACAATTTACAGGTATACAAACTTGTGACTCGCGGTCATGGCGTGATCGTCGAAATTACTCTTGTTCACGGCGCGATCGTCGCAGTGGCATAACTAGTCTGTCTGTACCCCAATGCAAGTATTCCCCGTGCGCCCCTATTCGTACTCATTCTCCCCCCACCATAATACAACTCCAACGAAACTATTAGCGACATTTCTCCATACTTCCTGGATACTATTTTATACACACGACATTGTACAAAATCCATCCAATTAGAGAAAGATTATTCAAAGAAATATAATTTATTATGTACAGTAGTTTTAAAAGTTAATTATAAAAAAAAAATACTATTCAAATAAACGGTATCACCAATCTGACACATACTTTCTCCCGTAAGCTTGTCAACAACCTTTATTATGGGTAAGCGGTGGGAGTAACTATGATATTTTATAGGGAAAAATCACAAAAGTTGCAATAACCTTTGAACCGTAATTGTTACAGCAATGGGGGTTGCACTATTTTGTTTAGAATTATTAGGACCATAACACATTAATTTTAATCAAACCGGTTTTTTTCCTAAAATCAGATTATTGTTATTTTATGGGTTTTTTAAATGGGAAAATAACATAAGTTACAACAACTTTGGAACCGTAACTATACAGAAATGGGAAACATTTTTTTCAAGATTTAAAGGATGGTGACATAGTAATTTTAGTCGAAACTAGTTTTTTTATAAAATCAGTTTTTTTTGTTATTTTATAGGGGTTTTATTGGTAAATCACCATTAAAATAAAAATTTTGAAAAAAGGAAAAAACTTAGAGATACAGTACTATGGATTGTACCTACATACCAAATTTCTTCCAAATCGGACTACAGGTGTGGTCTGTAGCTCTGTACATATCCATAAGGATAGAACAGAAATGTTGACTATTTGTAGGAGTAGACATACTATTTCCATGTTAAAGCTGTAGCCAATTTTCAAATAAAAATGTATGAAGTTGAACGGAGCCACCAACACAGTTTGCTGATGTCAATCACTCATTTCTGTCCAATACGCCAAGTTTTACAAAACTTTAGTCCAACAATTTCAGTAAATCTAGTCTTATGTATCCATCCACAACACTTCTGAAATACATTGAGAGGGAGGAAGATTCAACTCAATTCTTCGTTCCTAGTGTTGCAACACACATTTTGTATCTCAACGACTTCTGTCCTCAGGTAATAGAGCAAGTACGAGTGCTGAGTCAGAAGCTAGATGAAGTGATTGGTCGCCAGGAGCGTAGTCTTAGCATGCTTTCATCCATCCAGAGTGCTGGCTTACCTCCGGCCCAGATTGTTCAAGGTTTGCAGACAATATAAAAATATTCTTTAATTTTAAATTCATTATATGTATCCAGTATATGTACTGTAAATATACTAATTCTCTTGTCAAAATGTGTACTGGCAGATGTAAAGTCACTGATTTCGGTTCAAAGACCCATTATCAAAGCTACAGAAATCAAATTGCAGTCTAACCTCGATATAACGAATATTAAGGAACTGAACTGAATATTTGTTACATCGAGGATTTTGTTTCAACGAGGTCAGGAATTTCACTAAGTCGAGTTTGAAAGCAATCATCGGTCAATATAGGTCCACGTATGAGCTTACAGGGTGTCTGGGAAATCCGGGAAAACTGGGAATTGTACTTAATTTCGTGGCTGAAGTACGACTGACTGCCGGGGGCGCTTGTTGATCGGTTCTCTCCTACCGCCCCTGGTGTCAGGGTTGAGAACTACGGTCATCCCCTCCACATGAGGTCACTATGTCCAGCGTTCGTTGCGGCCTTTTCGTACAATAAATCAACGTATTTAGGATGACCGTGAAATATTACCCCACGTTAATTTTTGATCCGTTACAATCCGACAAAGTGTCCTTAAATGTATAATGAACTTTCATGAATTGTCCATGAATTATTTATCCAGAATGTTGTAGACACCCTGAGCTTCTTAACAAAATTAATACTACTATGGCTACTGTACAGTAGAACCTTGATTATCCCAGAAATAAGAAGGAGGGAGAACACGGATAATGAAAACCACTTACAACCCAACATGGTATAAAAATAGATGACAAACTTATAAAAAACACTAATACTGTGTAAACAGCCATTAAAGTCACAATTTCCATTTATATATCAACAAAATACAATATTGCACGATCATTAGTATTGGGTTATCATGACATTCCAATTCATTGACCTTTGTTCAGTTATACAAACTTTAAAATTTAAAATTACAGCTTACTCAAACTAACCAAACCGTGTATAGCATAAATCATGTAAAGAACAAAACAGTAAAAAGTTTTTTAAGCTACAGTACTGCTCGTGATAAGGCGACACGCTACAGGTACATGCTGTATCACAACAGAGGAATGTTGATAATAATAATAAACTAGCATTGGTGTTTTCATAGTTGAAAACAAATCATATTGAAAACAATAAAAATATTAGATAAGTCATAAAAAAGTGTAAAATCATATTTAAAGATTTAATAAAAACAAAAATTGAGTAAAAGTATTTTAAGATAACAATGTAAAACGGTTATTCTTTTTCTTTGTTCTACATCCAATTATTCAACAAGTCGCCTTAGTTAATACACATATCATCCAAACTCAGGCTACTAAAGTTGCCATGCTTACTTATCACCTAAGCATTATGCATCAGTCCTCAGCCAAAGAAATCAGTTGTGACAGATGTGTAAAACGAAGCTAATGATACTGTACAATATGTGCAAGCGTTGACGTCATCTTTCCATTCCATTTTCATCAAAAGAGCTGTGATGTTTCCAATGACAATGATGTGGGAGTTTGTTATATTGAGGGAAAGACACAGGCAATTCATTAAGTAGAGGTTAAATTAGGTTAAATATAGAAGATCTGGTAATGTATCTTGAGGTGACTTATATTAGTCGGTATAGTAAAAAATTTTTAAACTAACAAAACAAACAGTGACAACTGTAAGGTTGTTGATATGGTTTGTTTGTTATGTAGAGGTGAAATGTACATTGTGTCTTATGGAGATTTCAAAACTTATAATTATAGTTATATCCAGTGTTGGGGAAGCTACTTTTAAAATGTAGCTAGCTACAACTACTGCTACATTTCCAAAAAAGTAGCTTAGCTACAGCTACAGCTACTGTTCCGAAAAAGTAGCTAGCTACAACTACAGCTACAATGAAATGTAGCTACAGCTACAATTTTAGCTACTTTCCCAAAGACGTTACTTTTTATTCCACGCACATTAGGTAAATGTAAAATTAATTGCAACAACATTTTTATTGAACAAACATTTAAACAAAAAATGTCAGTATTGTATCTAACATTACTTGAAAAACAAATTATTCCTAGATTTTATTTAATTTGTTGGCATTATAAACCTAACATTACAACAACAGCATCAAATAGTTGGGTGTCCCATCATATTTAGTACTTATTTTTAAATATTGCATTATTTTTAAGCATCTTATATGTAAATTTCATTAAGTTTAAAGGACATACAACCAAACTATATTTTAAAAGCTCATTTTATTTCTTTAATATAGATGTCTTATACCAACAATTAAGACCACTTAAACTGTAAAACGATTATTTAAAAATACTTTTTTGTGTTACAGAGCCTAGCCGCTAGCCTATTGAAATTGGAGTTTATTGCCTTTCTTTACTTTTAATGTTAAAAACGACATTGCTATAACTTTTAACCATAGTGATAAGTTACTTGTTCTATGAATAACACTTTTCAATGTCAAGAAATCGTCCTTTATTGTCATTATGCATAGGGCAAATTGAGCTTCAACCTAGTTGGTACAGAAAACAGTATTCAGCAACTTATCCTGAAATCGGCTTTTAATTTAAACATGTTGAAATTTGTAAAGTAAAATTAACATGTAGGCCTATTTGGCTATGTAACAAGTTGGCTATAGTAGCTTTGTTCTTGTAAGGACTAAACAGATATATTCCTAATAATTGAACTTGGAATTCGTCTTAAACCATAGCATAGCCTAGGAATAGTCCAATACAAGAGCTGTTAGCAGGAGCAAACTATGCTATTTTTTATGTAAGTTTCATGTTACATGGAGATTTTTTCATTACAATTATCATGTAATCTAGGCATATCTTAAATCTCATCAGGTAATTTCCTCTTTGTTAATTTAGTAAACCTTTGAAAAATCTTTGTAATCTAACCAAGGAAGGGCTTGTGACGATGAACCACAATCAACAGCTGAAGCAAAGGTTGATAGACCAGTTTTATCATTATTTTAAGGTTTAGAGTTGGTTTCCATTAAAACCCTAGTTGAAACACTATCAATATAACAAAGAAACTACATTGATTTCTAGTTTCCCTGTCAATCACTTGCAAGCATTCAATAGCTTCTCTTGTCACCGGTAACTTTATTTAAACGTCGTCTGCATCTAGCGATTTTGTTTTATCTGACAGTAATCATAGAGTAGTAAATTAAGGAAATGAGAGCTAAAAATGTGGATAACACTCATTTAATGGCCTCCATGTTCACACAACGTTGTAATAGGGAATGAAACGGCTGCAACCAGCTGTATGAAGCCAATAAAGTAGGCCTAAAATTGTTTTGAAAATCTCAGTTTGAAAGATGTTGTTTAGGGTGAGGTTATGGTAAAAATCACTATCTCAAACAATGTTAATGTAGCGAGAAAAGTAGCTAAAATTCCGCTACAACTACTTTAAAAATGTAGCTAGCTACAGCTAAAGCTACAAAATCTTAAAAGTAGCGACGCTACAGCTAACGCTACAAAAAAAGTAGCGCGCTACTGTAGCGTCTCTACTTGTAGCGCGCTACTTCCCAACACTGGTTATATCAAAGAATTTGTTATATTGTAGTTCGTTATAGCGAGGTTTGACTGTATGAGACACTTAATTTTATTTTTAACCAGAAAACATCAATGCAATAATTGATCAAATTATAGTAAAAAATCTTATTAAAATTTGTTGTCTCATAAAATATATAACTAAAAAACATGTAATTACAAGAGCCAAGACATATCAGTACAGTTTAAAGAATTTTAAGGTAAATAGGAAAACAATGTCTTAAAACTATAGTCCTGCTGAGTTTTACAAAGGCCGCGGATGAAAATATGTCATAGATACTTAATGTCATACCTAATGAAATAACAGTGTTATTAGGCAATAAGATCTTTATAATTTATCATACAAGGATTATGAACAAAGTGAAAGTGACAAAGTATACAGAAGATAATTAAAGTTTACATGTACATGTGGTTACGCTACACTACACTATTTTGACGAACTTCCCACGCAAGGATTTAGTCCAGAAAAGAGCTGTTTGCCGCCAGCCTAATCAAATGGGCTTTCATTGCGTACTACTGTACTGTAATGAGTTTTACCGGACACCAATCAGCTGATTATACTGTATTTGGGTGGCAATGAGTAGTTATAACAAAAACATAACCTCTCTTAGAGATTATGACTAGTGATTTTTAGCCCTGTAGTTGGTGGTAATATACACGGATTTGAACAGATTTAGTAGTATGGCGTAAACTATCGTACGTCACTCATCCAAAATGTGTTTACCGGACTTGTATGGTAATCTTGTACTTGACTTCGTTTCGCACGGGAACGACCACAATCGTCCGGTTAACACTTATTTTCAGGACTAGTAACGTAATATACTATTTCGTAGCTCAATACAGGGAAAAAATATTTCTCACAATGTTTGACGAAGATGAATAAGTTTTATGTAAATATTAATAATTTAATAATTTTTACTCAGTTTAAGTGTTATTTTATTATGTTATTCATCTGTTAATGTGTTTTTCTACAGCTCCAGGAGGCCAACCCCAATTGATAGGAGATACGATACGACGCCACGAGGTCGACTCTATATTGAACAACCAGAACACATTGCTTATGCTGGCTCGGGAAATCAGGTAAGGAACAACCTCACAATCTGTATTATCAGGGAGTTTATAAAGTTGCATTTATTAAACCACACCACATGTTTCTCAAGATATAAAAGGGACAGTAAATATTAAGCTTTGGCGATTGGACTTTTGGGGTCTTAAACAGTTGAGTTTGCAGCATCACTGATTGCGGTGCTTTTGCAAAGTAGCTGAGATAAATTTCACATCAGTTGTCCCCGCTGCCTGGATTATCTGTCCTATATTAAAACATTTTAAGACTGAAGGCCAGTAGCACTGACCAAAAACACGTTTCTTCCAAAAAATGCTTTTATGTCTGTTGAGTGGTGATACCCAGTGAGCAACTTTGAAACGTATAAGCTGATGGGAAGAAGCTGGCAAGCTGTTAGTAGAGTAAGGTAGTCAATGGTATTGGCCTAACGAGTGGCTGACTCTGATTTACTGAAAATATCAGTCAAAGAGGAACCTTCCGTGTTTGTCGGTAATAGTGCATTCAAATGGATTATTTTAATGCTTTGAAAGCTGTTCAAACCAGGGTCACTACAAAGACGAGTCAAAGTTGCAACATTAATGTATCAAACAGGTGGTCCATCACCATCAATAATTGTTGATATTGACGTTTGATAACCTGCTATTATTTTTTTGCTTGTAATGTCAGAGGTTACGTTGTGGACGTCCAATCCAAGTCAGACAATATTATCTCCAATCAAGCTCGAGCCCCGACGGCCCAAGTACAGAGTGTGGGTTATGACATGGTCTCCCTCGTACATGAGCTGCGTGATGGACTCAACACAGTCAAGCGAGATGCAGCTACCACCGCACAGAAACTCTCGGCTCCTCCTGCTACCAGCTGCCCCTCCGCCAGTTGTGTTTCCCTCCCCATATTTCTTTTTGTCACGGTTGCACAACTATTGTGTTTCATCGGGTACTCGATGTACAGGTAAGCTGGAATTTCTGTATAACTCCTTGTAACACACACAACAACATACATACAATACATGCATTACATGTTTGCAGGGTCCATTTTAAACTTTGTTATAAAATAAAATGTATATATGGCCTACAACAAGAATGGCAGGAGTGAATGGGTAAAATTATAACAAAATAGAAATATAAAAATAAAAGACTATTATTTAAACTAGTGATGGGCCGATTCCAGATTTGGTCAATTCCGATTCCAGAACTTTGGTTTTGGTCTTGATTCCGCACTCGATACCGTTGCCTATTAAAAATTCATTTAATAACACATATATGTGTGCTTCTCGCAATCCCTATAAATAAAGGAGCATGTTTTATTTTTATTTAATCTAAATACAAACATAACTTAACTGAATTAAATAAGTTTACATAGATTAGGTTGTTAGCCTATAAGGAAAATAAGATATTTCAAGAAGACATACTGTCCGCGAGAGTAAAGAAGTCCCCTGAGCTCCGGCCTATTCGTAGTTTGAAGGTGTTATGCTTGAACGTTTCGCGCGACAATTACTGTAGAGCCGTTTTCACGCTGCTCTGCTAGTTTAATTTAATATCTGTATGATTTTTATAAATCTATGTCATAATTTTTTTTTGCATAGTCATACAATTGAAGGAAACCCATTTTCTAGTGTTACTAAGGCAAATTAATAACCTTTCTACTTTATGATTTTTGTTCAGTTAAATGTAACAATACCAATAAAATACAATACAATAAAATCCTTTTTAAATCCGAGTTTGAAAGCATTAATCCCAAATAGTTAGTTGATCCATGAATATACTTATGGTGAATGCATATTACTGGTACATGAATATTATAAGTACACGAGTACAGCAGTTTCAATAGCATTCATCGCAATAAACAACTTATTATTAAAGTTATTAATCCTATTACCATAAACCTAAGCAAAAAATCAAGAAAACAAGCAAAATCCCTTTGTTTGATCCAATGTCTACGACAAATCACGCGGTTCGACGCGTTCATGTCAGGTAACACGCCATTGACGTCATTTTTTTCCAACATTTCTGGAAGGTTAAATTACTGTCTATCCAAGTTTCGTCCAGATAGAAAAGTTTCCTTTTTTGTTCCCTTAGCTTTCTTATCTCTCGCAATACTTAAACCTCCAATTAATGATGTCGGGCCTTTCAATCAAACATTTTCTTTTAGGACCAAATTTCTTCCACTTGAACCCCATATCTTTTAAGAGACGCCGAAGTGCCCATTCGCTCAATTTAAAATTAATTCTTTCTCTCAAAACAGGTAATAGTTTTTTACATGTATTGACATTTTTTTGTTCTTGTAAAAATCGCGTATTACTTCTACAATTACATGCCTATCAAAGCTATCTATTTGTACTTTATGGTGGTCAGCCTTCTTGCATTTTTTCCCGGCTGTACAGAGTTTTTCATCCGGAGTTTGTTTGACTGCTTTTCTAATTCGTTTAATAGTTTTTTCTGGCACTTTGCATTAGTTTGCGGCACGTTCTGTTGCCTTTTCTATCGTCACTAATAAATTTTTGTCTTTACATTTGTTTTCACAACACTCGATCACCCGTCTAATTAAATCCCTCTCTCCACTATGTATAGTAGCACCACGTTTTCTTAAATCCATAGCTACAAGGACTGTCCAAAACAAAACAGAACTCACTACGCGCACACACGAGACTGCAATGAATCAAATGACGTGACACATGATGATAATCCACTTACCAAAACAAAGATATGAGTAATTATGTTTACAGACAGACATCGAGGCAAGGCGCCCAGATGCTTAGCGCCTGCAAATAGTGTGTGATACCCTCCAAAAATAGCTGCGTATCGCTCTGGCTCAAGGGACTTCTTTACTCTCGCGGACAGTACATTTTAACATATTTTATTAAATTAAATTGAAACAACAAACACCGGTTTAGTTAGGCCTAAAATTTTCACTGCGTTTTTTGTTTGCATAAGCAATCATACATCTAGGCCTAACTTACATTGAATGTCCAAGTCATCTTCAATATTGTCATAATCAATATCACTTTACTTAAAGTTCTTTAATTACTTAAAGAATCACACAAAAGTCATGGAGTTCATCACATCACTGGAACGGAGATCAACCCATTTTTGAACAATTCACTATCAACAACAAAACATAAACAATTCATTATTCGCAAACTCACGAGTCACAACAGCTGTTTCAGTTCAGTCAGAGAGAACCAACATATAACCATAAAAATACATCGCTAAACGGCTGTCTCCAATGTACAGTCTCCAATAGTCACCATGAAGCTCAGTTAGTATAAGTAAGCCGTGGGCTTCATGGACCAAAAATAACGAACAAAACTTAGTGCCTACAAACTCGCCTGATTTTAGGTGGGCGACACTTAGAGGGTTAAAGGACCAACCAATAATATCATTGACTATAAACACACTTTGTGAGTATATATAATCAATGATATTATACACTATGATCAGCAAGTTATCAAGCTCTTTAGCTGTTAATGAAATGTACATAAAGCCTATCAGGAGTTAAAAAAACACACAATTTATACTAGCACAATTACCTATATACACTTTGTATTATATTTATATATTCAATGCTTGTACCATGGGGCCAATCTGGCAACATTGCCCTCTATCTGACAACATGGTGGCAACTATTTTTTTTTTAGCAAGGGTATTTTATTTTACAATGTTATCTAAATGAATGTTGTTCCTGTCGTACAATAATACAACATTTTCTTTTGTTTGTTGCAGGGACAATAAAGAAGCACAAGCCAAGAAGTTTTACTGATTTCCAAATTCCTGAATGATTTTATTTGATTGGCTACAGACTGAGCAGCCATTGAATTCCAAAGTATAGTCAATTTGAGCCTTTGTACAAGTGTGGCTCAGAGTAAATTTTACTTAGGCAAGTTTAAAATTTGTTTGAATATATAATGAATACTTAGGGCTGGGAAAAATGTTCTTCTACCCATAAAGGTGTGGGTAATAATGATGAATTTCCATTTTGCAGCTGATGTTTTGTGCAATAATATCAGTAATTTCTTTTTTGTATCGAGGAATTGGAATTACCATACACCAGCCATTGTAGTATTGTTGTATTTAAGTTATTTTATTGTTAATTTAGTATAATTAGTTTATTTTCGTTACTTGTTACTTCAGGTCGTAAGGCTGTGGACATATGTTATGTAATAGCAGTCATAATACTTTGGGTGGTGTATTAAATATCTATTGTGAAAGTTATTTGTTTTCTGTGTTCTGTTCTCTGTCATAGTATTTTATTTGCATGTAACTGTTTGATGCTGTAGTTGTGATATAGAAATTCCTTGATGGCATGTAAACCATATAAATTTTGACTTGAAAAAACCTAATTTTTTATATTAATAAAAACAAACTGGGTGGATACAAAAATTGAAAGCATGATGAACTAAAATAAGCTGTATTTGTGTAAAATTACACTAGCATTTTGGTTTTCCACTTAAATAGTGGTTTTGAACATATAAGCTTCACATTACTTAATTGCTCTTTCATAAGTCATTAAGTAAGTTTTCAATTCTACCTTTCTATGATAGAATACAAAGTTTGTTCAGTAACATTTATTTGGGTTGATATGTGTTTTATTTTTTAACTATTGAAATTTCATTACCAGTTGTGCTCATTATTGAGTTATAAATTACATCAAGGAAGAAGGCATGGATACACAACTAACTTACATAAGAAATTAGTCTCAGATAGTTGAAAGACACAATAAGTTCACAACACAGTTAACTTGATATTTCACCCCTACAAAGGCTTCTTCATAAGAAAGAAGTAAAAACTAAAAGAAGCCTCTTGTAGGGGTGAAATATCAAGTTAACTGTGTTGTGGACGTATTATGTGCTTTCAACTACATGGAACTATTTTCTTGGATAAGTTATTTGTGTATCCATTCCTTCTTCTTTAATATATTCCTAGCCTAGTGTTTAAAAAAAAGAAAAAAACTGAGCTGTTTATTACAAATTTAAAAAATAACTGTTGTTAATAGCTATGTAATAAATCTCTTAGGGATACTGTCTATATATATTTTTTAAATTTCATAGGATTAGTTAATCATGGTTGTTCAAGGTGGAATTATGGAACTCAAATTTGTTAGAAGTTAGAAGATTGTTGACATATGGATTCTTTTGGCCTTGTTTTATACTAATAATTTTAGTGTCCCAGCCCTAATTTCTAACTTGAAGTGAAACTGTGAAAGATGTGTTATTATTAAATAAGTATTGAAGAGGTTATGAAGGAAACTAATTGTACATTCCATTGTAACGTGACTTTAAGAAGTGAGAATAAGGGGAATGGATTTTGTGTGTGAATCTCCGAGACTGTTAGTTAATTTAAAATAGTTTTCCTGTTCCAAATGTTTCCTATAGTTTCTGCATTTTAAAATAAATTTGTAGTATTTATTGGACTTGGTGTCTTGTATTATTCAGATGTTAAGACTGTTTTAAAAGTAATTCAACTGGTGATTTGATGTTGAATACCTCTAATTCTAGTTTTTCAGGTTTTAAAAGATATTTCCATTGTAATAAAAATAACTTCTCCTAAAAGAACAAGATGCCGTAATTTAAATTTCTGTTTGTTTTTAAGTTTTATAAAACATTTTTCAATAATTTGAGTTTTGTTCATTACTTTTCCTCATCTATGGTAATAATAAGTCAAAATAGTTAGACTGCAGCAAAAGCCCTAGAAAATAGCAAACAATATGGATGATGAGTGATGTAAAAATCTGATTCTGACAAAAGCATTAGTCATTTATACCAGTAGCCTATTCACAAAATAAATATAATTTTTAATCTCAGATCATCCTCGGAATAAGAAGACCTTAGCTATTGTAACACATCCATAATTCTCACATGAATTTAAGTATTTGCAACAGTGTCTGTGTGTGTATTAATGGAACGACAGAACATTGAATATTTTTCTACATGAAGCTTCAAATACAACAACCATATACGCAAATTGATTTCATTGTGGTGCGGCACATAAAAAAGCTCGAGTCCTGATTTATCCATTTACTGTACTACTTATTTTAACACTATGTGCAAACTAACTAGTAGTAACTATATATCATTTTTCAAGGTTTTGTCGTACAACCTCATATACAAAAGCAACAAGGGAAAGTTCCATAATATTATACTGTAAAAAATAACTTTTTATGTTTATGTTACTTTTTTGATGACGTATAAATATTAAGGCCAACATGGTAAGGACATTTTTTGTAGGAAATCTTATTGCAAAAATGATTAACAAAAGATTGTAGTGTTATCTTTACCCTTTTTTAAGTTAAAGCCAATTTTCTAAGAGACTGTAAATTTATCTAAACAGGGTGGGTGTGAGGAAAGCACAAGGGGAAGAAATGGGGACTTTTGGGAAATACACACCTCAACATGGTGAAACAGCATATGAAAATTCAGCTTTCCCCTAATTACTTCCGACACAAAACCTATATTGACTGGGCTATATAGGGAAGTAGCTATTACCATAGTTAGCATGGGTCCGCGGAATTGGCTAACTCTTGATCTCGCTTACCCCATGTTAAACGCCCTATCTCCACTTTTGGTCTATGAGAGGAACTCGCTACCTTGTTCGGCTTCGGAATTGGCTTACTCCGGAACCCACTAACTTGCTCTAGAGCCGGGTTTGCAAATTCCGTCCTAGTACGGAAGTCGCTAACTCGGTCCCTTGGCGGAACTCGCTAACTCCCAATCAGAAGCCTCGCGCGCCGTCCAATGGTAGCCAAGCACAAAGATTGTTGGCCAGTGTTGCCGAAAGTGTAGTACCTACGATCGTATTGGTACCATAATGTTGTATCCTACGCATAATTAGGAGTAAGAGCAATGTAGTCGATAAAATAAATATATATTCAAAAGTATGTTTATTATTATTCTTGTGAGTTGTGATTATTATTAGGGTGGAAAATGCATTATAGACTAACCAACACAAGTAAACTTCACATCCCATTGTAAATTTTGAAGCTCGTTTTTTGTGTCTAGTTCTTGTCCGGTGACACAATTGTGTTTCTATTATCTTATAGTTAACTTCATGATTTGTTCTCTACTGTTTGGTTATATAACTAGGGGACGAGTTAAATGATTAGAACGTTTTATTTGGTTGAACGCGGTTTTAAATGACTGAAAACAATAAAAAATTGTAAACAAAAGATGACCTCTACAGACAGTGCGGACAGAACTAACAATAACACTGTCCTCAGCTGATCCAAAAGGATGAGAAATATACTAATATAAGGGAGTATATTTTATCTATGGTCTTCATACTTAAATAGTAGTTTATTGGGATGTAAAAAAATGTACTGTACATTTAATTTGTATCTTTTTACAGGTTATGAAATATCTATTTTCGTAGTCGGTCATTTGTTGATTCTTTAAATGCCTATTATATCTGTCGTTCAAGTGTTAACATTAGTTTGGTTCTTCTTAATATTTCTGTATTATTAACCGAAACAATTCCGATTCATAGTATTAGCATTGACTAAGCAACACAAGTCTATGTGTTAAAGTATGTTTTATCTATGGTATTAGTAAACAAATGAAATAGTTTCGATATTTTTGTATAACAGGTACATATATGATTTACTTAGGTACATTAATTAATAACGGAATTCTAAAACATTAACAATGTATTACAATATTGTGTCTTTAATTTATATTAGCCAAGAAAAGGAATTTAAATGTTGTTACATTATGTTGTTAGGAAACATATAATCTATTTACAAAAATTGAAGCAGTATTGTAATAGTATATCCTATTCGGGGCAACCAACAATTAGATATTTTAAAAACAAGCTCCAGTAATTGCCGTAGACCTATGCCTAGAATTGTGAGTATTGACTTCCCGATAAAATTTACACGTCAAACGTCGTTACAGAAATGCATGGTAGTAGTGTTAAAAATATTTTTAAATAGAGCTATTGAATTTAAATAAATATTAATCAATACATTATAAGTGGTAATGTATGGATTGTATTAAAAATTATTCATGCATAATAGGTCAGTAAAATTAGTTAAAAAATTGGCTGTGCCTAGAAATAATTCTCGGAAAGCTGGAAATCGTTTTAATCCTTTTGTTTTGTATAGAAGTATAAGGATATGAAGTTTGTCCCATTTTTCCAGGTGAGCTTCTGACCTGGGACCACAAAAACCTTGAAATTTAGGGTTATTTTTTAGTTTTTACTAAAACGTCAAAAAACCGTCCAGCCTACAGAAAAACACATAGTAAAGGAATTGTAGAGCATAAAATTCCGCATCCATTGAGTATAATGGTGATGAATATCGAACCAATATTAAGCTATTTATAGTAATTTAAATAAAGTTATTTTATTAACAATTATTGAACATTGCATATTTTACATTTATATTTCTTCTAGAAGATGGATTCCAAGTACATTATTATTTACAAAGTAATTAAAACGAATTACAAATACCCTCGCCGCAGCACACCTGCAGACTAAGTGATTTTCCATTTACCTGGCTGGATTTATACTAAAATATTCCCTAAAAATTGTCAGATTTATTTCCTATTTAATTAACATTAGTTTTAGTGAGTCCTTAGGTTTGCTGCTACAGGGAAGATATTGAGATGTGTTTTTTATTGCAATGTAGATACTAGTATTAAATAAACAAAATTTCCAAATGTTTAAATATTTCCATAAACAAGCAAACTTCAACAGTTTATTTATTCTCCATAAGAATAATATGGGAATTCAAATTTACAATTTTTTTTAATTATCCCCGCAACCGTTGGGCATACAACAACGTAATATAAATAAACAAATAAATTGTTTATTCGTTTAAGCTCTACAAAATTCCAATCACAGCGCTGGAACAGAGAACTTTAAAAAAAAACATGCATCGTACATTTGACTCCGTTCTTCCGATAAGTGCAACCTCTTTTACACCCTTTTGCACACTTACATGAGATATTGTTAAGAAGATCTGGTGGTGTAGCTTCAACATTTGTTGGATTTGGAAGTATCCCATGCTTAGATGACTTCCAGTCCCAATCAGTAAGCAATTTCAGCCACCAAATGCACGTAGAAACTGGATATTGCTTTTAAGGTCGAAGAATATTTGAATTTCACTGGGGAATAAAACGTATTGCTGGACTTCCCTTTCCCCAGGTTTCAAGGGGTATATATATAGTGGCTGATTTGGGAACAAATGTAGTTAAGAGCACACGGAGGTCAATATCTTCCCCCCACGATAATAACACGTTCTGACTGCTGAACTAGTTAGATGGCTTGCATGACGATAGTAGTATCTGAATCATTGACTATATATCTGAATCCATGGCAGCTTGCTTCACAGTTTTCTTTCTTCAATCTTTGAGTATTCATGGTTATCAGATTGTGTTTATTTCCTTCATTTGCAAGAAAGTGTTCTTATGGCAAGATGAGGGACATTGTTTCATCAAACTTGACACTGGCTGCAATGTATTTACTCCTTCGGCGGAATCCTATGGAGAAACCAATGAAGACAAAAAAAAAATGTTAAATATCCAATGTTCAATGATCCGATTTCGATGAAATTTGGTACAAACGTTTGAACCTACATTTATTCTGATGAGTTCACGAACCATCATAATCGTACTATGGGAGCTGGGGCTTATGAGGGGTTTTATGGGGTAAAAATTGATTTTCCCATTTTTGACCACAAAAGCACAAAATTTCATAATTTCTCTCCAAATTATTTTGTAGAGCTTAAACAAATAAACAATTTATTTGTATATTGAAGCGTTGTTGTATGCCCAACGGTTACAGGGATAATTAAAAAAATTGTAAATTATATTCCCATGTTATTCTTATGGAGAATAAATAAACTGTTATAGTTTGCATGTTTATGGATATATTTAAACCAAATTTGAAAACTTTGTTTATTTAATACTGAGCTATCGACATTGCAATAAAAAACACATCTCAATATCTTCCCTGTAGCAGCAAACCTAAGTAGTCACTAAAATTACTGTAATGTTAATTAAATAGGAAATAAATCTGACAATTTTTATGGAATATTTTAGTATAAATCCAGCCAGGTAAATGGAAAATCACTTAGTCTGCAGGTTTGCTGCGGCGAGGGTATTTGTAATTTGTTTTAATTACTTTGTAAATAATGATTTTACTGGCCTATAAATACAAATTGTAAATTTCTGTTATCATAGGCTATTAGTGTAGAACAACGGGTTATCCTCATAATTTTCTTTAATTAATACTAATTTTACGTCTTTCAGTACTTTTAAAAAGTCTGGAGTTTTATGGTTCTAAATGGTTCCAGGCGTTCTTGTTTGTTACCATTTTTTATGAAAGGTGGCCATAGCTAAAACTAGCTGATCTTATCCAACAACAAAGCTATTGTCTTGTGATTTACCTAGGTACATTAATTAATAACGTTAATCTAAAACATTTACCTACGCCCACGTGTGGATTTAACCAACGCAACTGCAATCGTAATCGCGTTACAAAACAGTTGGTTCATCTTTTGTTGGGTTTCAGTGTTCCCGTATGTCGACCGCCTAAGACCCAGGCCAGGGACCGATTTACTTTTTCATTTTGATGCCCCCAGAAGCTAAAAAATTTATGTACGAATTGTTATACAGTAGAACCTCTTTAATCCGAACCCCCGTAATCCGAACGTCCACTAATCCAAACACCTCATTGCTGTACTTTATACACAGTACAGAAGTTCTATATTGTATACTGTTTTTAATGTTCAGTACTGTTTATTCACTATGTTCACTACTGCATTAAATAAACACTGTAAGCATTTTTTAACTTTTCCAGTAACAATTACAATCCATTTTAGCCTTGTTTCAGCTATTGTTATGTAAGGCAACAATATGTTCTGTAATCCAAACTATTCAATAGTCCGAACTACCCCCAGTCCCAATTAGTTCGTATTAAAGAGGTTCTACTGTATATGTGTCCATGAACACCCACCACACTTCCACCACTTGAACTTGAGTAATTTTAGTCCGATTTTGATAAAATTTGGATTGAAGTTGTAGGACGGGATAAATTAGAATGAGTTTGCAAACCAGCATGATCGGACCTTGGTAACAGGGTTTTGTGGAGTAAAAATTGGTTTTTCCCATTTTTGACCCTCAAAAAATAAAATATTCTAATTTCTCTTTAAACTATTTTGAAGAGCATAAAAACGCAAATAATTAAGTATACTAAGTGTTTTTGTACGGTTATTGGAATAAGTATAAAATCCATATAGTTAATTATGAGATAAACTTTAAAAAAAAAAAAAAATGGTAATATTTTGTATAACAATTTATTTGGTACGGTATTAAAAGCATGACACATTATTAAACACACAAAAAACACAAGATTAATCTTAATAGCACAATCCTAATAATTTAAATACAAATAAGTAATTTGATATATTTTTTTGCTTATTTTAAGCTTCACCACCGGTAAACAGATTTTTTAGTTTGTCTGTCCATGAATATTCTTGACTCGATCGCTTGCTCTTCTCAGCAGGTGCAGCAGCTCCAGAAGCCTGGTTCAATCCAGGTAAGTTCCCAACTCCAAACGATTCAGGTCCTTTTACAGGAAGGTTCGACGTGAATTCACTTATTTGACTCTGCCATCCATCACCAAAGGATGACAGTGGGTTGTCAGCTGATCGCTTGGCTTTCTCAGCAGGTGCAGCAGCTCCAGAAGCCTGGTTCAATCCAGGTAAGTTCCCAACTCCAAATGATTCAGGTCCTTTTACAGGAAGGTTCGACGTGAATTCACTTATTTGACTCTGCCATCCATCACCAAAGGATGACAGTGGGTTGTCAGCTGATCGCTTGGCTTTCTCAGCAGGTGCAGCAGCTCCAGAAGCCTGGCTCAATCCAGGTAAGTTCCCAACTCCAAACGATTCAGGTCCTTTTACAGGAAGGTTCGACGTGAATTCACTTATTTGACTCTGCCATCCATCACCAAAGGATGACAGTGGGTTGTCAGCTGATCGCTTGGCTTTCTCAGCAGGTGCAGCAGCTCCAGAAGCCTGGCTCAATCCAGGTAAGTTCCCAACTCCAAACGATTCAGGTCCTTTTACAGGAAGGTTCGACGTGAATTCACTTATTTGACTCTGCCATCCATCACCAAAGGATGACAATGGGTTGTCAGCTGATCGCTTGGCTTTCTCAGCAGGTGCAGCAGCTCCAGAAGCCTGGTTCAATCCAGGTAAGTTCCCAACTCCAAACGATTCAGGTCCTTTTACAGGAAGGTTCGACGTGAATTCACTTATTTGACTCTGCCATCCATCACCAAAGGATGACAATGGGTTGTCAGCTGATCGCTTGGCTTTCTCAGCAGGTGCAGCAGCTCCAGAAGCCTGGTTCAATCCAGGTAAGTTCCCAACTCCAAACGATTCAGGTCCTTTTACAGGAAGGTTCGACGTGAATTCACTTATTTGACTCTGCCATCCATCACCAAAGGATGACAATGGGTTGTCAGCTGATCGCTTGGCTTTCTCAGCAGGTGCAGCAGCTCCAGAAGCCTGGTTCAATCCAGGTAAGTTCCCAACTCCAAACGATTCAGGTCCTTTTACAGGAAGGTTCGACGTCAATTCACTTATTTGACTCTGCCATCCATCACCAAAGGATGACAATGGGTTGTCAGCTGATCGCTTGGCTTTCTCAGCAGGTGCAGCAGCTCCAGAAGCCTGGTTCAATCCAGGTAAGTTCCCAACTCCAAACGATTCAGGTCCTTTTACAGGAAGGTTCGACGTCAATTCACTTATTTGACTCTGCCATCCATCACCAAAGGATGACAATGGGTTGTCAGCTGATCGCTTGGCTTTCTCAGCAGGTGCAGCAGCTCCAGAAGCCTGGTTCAATCCAGGTAAGTTCCCAACTCCAAACGATTCAGGTCCTTTTACAGGAAGGTTCGACGTGAATTCACTTATTTGACTCTGCCATCCATCACCAAAGGATGACAATGGGTTGTCAGCTGATCGCTTGGCTTTCTCAGCAGGTGCAGCAGCTCCAGAAGCCTGGTTCAATCCAGGTAAGTTCCCAACTCCAAACGATTCAGGTCCTTTTACAGGAAGGTTCGACGTGAATTCACTTATTTGACTCTGCCATCCATCACCAAAGGATGACAATGGGTTGTCAGCTGATCGCTTGGCTTTCTCAGCAGGTGCAGCAGCTCCAGAAGCCTGGTTCAATCCAGGTAAGTTCCCAACTCCAAATGATTCAGGTCCTTTTACAGGAAGGTTCGACGTGAATTCACTTATTTGACTCTGCCATCCATCACCAAAGGATGACAATGGGTTGTCAGCTGATCGCTTGGCTTTCTCAGCAGGTGCAGCAGCTCCAGAAGCCTGGCTCAATCCAGGTAAGTTCCCAACTCCAAACGATTCAGGTCCTTTTACAGGAAGGTTCGACGTCAATTCACTTATTTGACTCTGCCATCCATCACCAAAGGATGACAATGGGTTGTCAGCTGATCGCTTGGCTTTCTCAGCAGGTGCAGCAGCTCCAGAAGCCTGGTTCAATCCAGGTAAGTTCCCAACTCCAAACGATTCAGGTCCTTTTACAGGAAGGTTCGACGTGAATTCACTTATTTGACTCTGCCATCCATCACCAAAGGATGACAGTGGGTTGTCAGCTGATCGCTTGGCTTTCTCAGCAGGTGCAGCAGCTCCAGAAGCCTGGTTCAATCCAGGTAAGTTCCCAACTCCAAACGATTCAGGTCCTTTTACAGGAAGGTTCGACGTGAATTCACTTATTTGACTCTGCCATCCATCACCAAAGGATGACAATGGGTTGTCAGCTGATCGCTTGGCTTTCTCAGCAGGTGCAGCAGCTCCAGAAGCCTGGCTCAATCCAGGTAAGTTCCCAACTCCAAACGATTCAGGTCCTTTTACAGGAAGGTTCGACGTGAATTCACTTATTTGACTCTGCCATCCATCACCAAAGGATGACAATGGGTTGTCAGCTGATCGCTTGGCTTTCTCAGCAGGTGCAGCAGCTCCAGAAGCCTGGTTCAATCCAGGTAAGTTCCCAACTCCAAACGATTCAGGTCCTTTTACAGGAAGGTTCGACGTGAATTCACTTATTTGACTCTGCCATCCATCACCAAAGGATGACAATGGGTTGTCAGCTGATCTTTTTGCCCTTGTGTTACCCTGAAAATAAATATCTTGAATCAGAACAGTTATATTTAAAACTCTTTTTATATAATACCTTTGAGTAGAATAAAGATTAAATTAAATAGTCAAAATAGTTTATTTTGTAAAATATACAGTCTCAAAATTTTGCTACTGTATTCTTATTCCAAGTTTTTATATCATTAAAATTTTTTTATGAAACTGAAATAATAAGAGTGGGCTGACTATGCTGTATCCACTCAAGATTAGATATTTATATGTATTAATAAAAATACTAAGCTGGATTTTGAGAAATGTAATCTACTATTAATCAACAAAACTATTGTCTTTTACGAGGGCGTAATAACATAGATTTTCTAGAATGGAAAAATTCAAGCAACAACATTTTAAAGGGAATGTTTAAGAAGGCTCAAACACCATAGCAGTTAATATTTTACATTTAAACCACATTACTACATTTTCTTTAGCATCAGTACAGTAGAAATCCAACCCTCTGGATCAATTGGGACTGCACCCCAGGACAATCCAAAATTGGCACAGTTGAAATTTTCAAGATAAAGGTTATATAAAATAAACAAAAAGTATGACTTGGGACTTAGCTCTTGTACATTTAGACATTACAGAGCACTGGAATCAAGAAGCTGAACAGACAATCCAGATTTGTGAGTTAAAGTTACAATAGTCATTCTGCATATTGGACTTTAAAATATTTAAATGATGTCCAATATTTTTTTTCTTCTTCTTCTTGGTATTTACCACTTATTGTATTTATTATATTTACCATCTTGTGAGTAACAGTATAAGCGTAAATATATGTTTTAAGTGTTATAAGATGTATCTTTCATTTACTTTCCATAGATTGTTACTCCCAATGTCATGATCAATCCCTATGATTATAAAAGGTATAATGTTTTCGGATCTGCCAGAGTAATCCAAAGGCTGTCTGTCGAGACTACGCGTTTCGAAGCATTAATAGCTTCATCATCAGGTCTTCAAGAACACTTTATCACTCATCAGAGTATGTATGTTTGTAAAAATTATATTTATTTGACGACCTCTGATGAGTGATAAGTGTTCTTGAAGACCTGATGATGAAGCTATTAATGCTTCGAAACGCGTAGTCTCGACAGACAGCCTTTGGATTACTCTGGCAGATCCAGGTAACATTATACATTTTATAATCTAAAAACAGTAATCCTGAGACAAGAAACAACATGAAGCAATCCCTGTGCTTTTAGTGGGGGGAATAGGCTATAATAAAGTAGGGTACAGCTTAAGGCCTTTTCCCACTGGCGGCGTAATGACGGCCAGGACGTCCAGTACGTGGTTCTTCCACACCGCCACAGAAAACATACTACTAATATGTTTTCTGTGACACCGCACAGAAACTTCCAAAGCCTCCACTTGTTCATTTGGAGTCAGAACAGTAACACCATCATTTACTACTAGTGTATGGACACATAATATAGCCTATATATTATGTGTATTAGTGCATTAATGTTATTAGTGCATTTGTTTTATCAGTGCAAATATGTCTTATCCACAAGATCATTGGTGTGAGCCTGGGATTTCCGTTCCATGGATTAACAAACAAGGTTTTGAAGTGTCTACTGCGTATGGACGTTTTAGAAAACTGAGACTGTCGCGGACGTCCAGGACGCTGGTGTGAAAAGGCCTTTAAAATTGCATAAACCAAAACACAATTTACATTTATTTGTTCAAGTAGTTTGTTACAGGCAGGTAGACAATTAAAACAGTCTACTAATAATAGGTTAAATATATGACTTGTATTATTTGACTTATTACTATAAAAACTAAATTTGTTCCCACTGTCTTTAATATCTTTAAAGGTAAACAGGGCTTTAAATTATTGAAGTGAGTCAGTTGGTTGTTTTAGAGTAGGTACCTACATAATTGTATCAGTTTGTTTTTATTTTTGAAATCCATAAAATTAATTCGGTTGAACTCTCCTCATTTTAATTTCACATATTCGCAATGCTATATTTAGATTATAAAATAAATCTAGTATGTTTTCTTAAAGACATAATTTACTTTCTATTGATCAATTTACAAACTGGTACTAATAGTATGACTTGGAACAATTTTTTGCAGTGTTTGATAGCTAATGTAAACAAGAAGATATTTAAGGGGGAAATACTTTTTATCTAATATGAAAAAAATGCTGTTCTGAACTAAACTTTACCCTTATAAACCTTTGAACTTAACTAAAACTAAAACTAAATTGGAAAAAATAGTTACCTGAACACAGACGAAGGCTGACAGTGCAGTGCCTGAAAGAAACAATTCCAATATTAGTAATAAAAATACTAGTTAAATATAAGTAAAGTACTTTTAAATGTTCTAAATGGTTTGATGTCATAAAACTCTGTTAAATTTAGTTAAAATCATCTCTATATTTTTAAGTAACTATCAAAATCAGGTCTATGAAACATAGTGGTTAAATTTACAATATCGTACCACTGAACACATTTAGCACCTCAACTCTTCAGTGTACATACCACATACAAATACAGTTGAAGGAAGATCAATTTAAAGCTCATTTCTTATTAAGTAAGAGTATTAAGCATTTAAAAATTTAATAATATTTTTTATACTGTGAGGTGGATAATAATCTGCAACACCAAAAGCATAACTCTTTGGAACATAATTTAAATACAAAATACTCCCGCTAAAGCAAACTATCAGCCTAAGTGAATTTCCATTTACCTTGTTGGATTTGCACTACATGTCAAATATTCCCATATATGTAATTGTCAGATTTATTTTCTATTTAAATACAATTATTTAATGAGTACCACTGAGGTTTGCTGCTACAGGGGGGGTAGAGTTTTTTTTTTATTGAAATACTAATAGCGTACCTGTAGTATGAAATAAACAGATTTATCAAAATTTTATTCAATTAAAATATATCCCTAAAAAAGCAAACTACATCAGTTTTATGTATCATTCATAAAAATAACTTTGAAATTTTAAGTTTACAGTTTTTTATATTATTTACTCCATAACCATTATAGGCCTTTATTGAACAACACTTCAATATACTAATTTTTTTTTAGGTCCACAGAATAGTTTATAAAGAAATTGTGATTTTTTTTTGTTTTAAGGGTCAAAAATTAGAAAACCCAAATTTTACCACATATAGTCCCCAAAAAACCCTTGTTCCCATAGTCCGATCATGCTGGTTCACAAAAAACTTAGAATAAATGTATGTTAACTTGTTTATACTGAAGTTCACCAAAATCCGATGATTTTTACTTAAGTCATCCTGCTAACAGACAGACACCCATTTATGAATTTATTTGATTTATGAACAAATGGTGTTTTTGGCCTTTGGGGACATCAAACAAAAAAGTAAACTGGCCCTGGATCTAGACTAGATATTGCACAATGTTCAAGACGTGGCACAAACAACTAATAATGCATATAAAAATTAACTTATAGTATATAGTTTTATTTTTTTTATTAAAATTTGTTAAATATCTTTGATAATGTTTCAAGTTGAAAAAAGTTCTTTACAATGTACTTGAGTAAGGAATAAATGCAATTCGCATAAACACTATTTTTCCGATTAAATCTTGGAAAAAATTAGGTACTATAGCAACTTGGCATAATTCATCCGACTGTAAAAGAAAATATTGAAAAGTAAAACTTTAGTTGAAACTTTCCCAAAAAACATACCTGAGAGCAGGAGGAAGAAGGTAAAATGTGGCATGGTAGTCCAACTGTGGGATGTTTAGCCACTGGCTAGCTTATATAGGCCATGTTTAGCCTATCAGGGGGCGTCACTCATGATATGCCAACATAAACCTTAAGGTTCATTGACTACTAAAGATATGCATCTACTTACAGTAGTTACCTTGTAAACACAACTGTTGTAAACATATCTTATACTAGGAAGCAGATTGATTAGATGATTTAATATTTTATGATATTGAGAGTTTAAAAAATACTATATGAAATGTTAATTAATTCTGCGTCCAGGATTGATGTAATAACTATAATAAAAAAATACCCCCGCTACAGCAAACCTGCAGTCTAAGCAAATTTCCATTTACCTAGCTGGATTTCTACTAAAATATTCCCTTAAAATGGTCAGATTTATTTCCTATTTAAATAACATTAATGTTCATGAATAGGTTTGCTGGCTACAAGAAAGGTATTGACATGTGTTTTTTTAATTAAAATTTTGATAGCTTAATATATAAACAAAATTGCCAATTTTGATTAAAAGATATCCATAAACAAAGCAAAATACAACAGTTTATTCTCCATAAGAGTAACATGGGAATTTAAAATTAAAATTTTTTAGTTGTCTCCGTAACCGTTATAGGCATACAACACCACTTCAATATACAAATTTATTTCTTTTTTACGCTCTACAAAATGGTTTAGAAACTTGAAATTGTGAAATTTTATGTTTTTAGAGTAAAAAATTGGAAAAACCAATTTTTACCCCATAAATCCCCGTTCGCATAGTCCGATCATGCTGGTACGGAAATAAATGTAGGTTTCCACATATGTACCAAATTCAATCAAAATTGGGTCATTTTTGCTCAAGTTATTGCGCTAACGGTCACATATTATATATACAGGGTGACAAAAAAGTCTGAAAACGGCTTAATTTCTTTTTAACTAAATCCGTTATAAAATGCAAACCTTTCACATCAACTTATATGTACTGTATGAAAACTACTTTTTCCAAGCTTTACCATTTTTTGACCTTCACCAGGGGACAACCTATGAGGAGTAGGGTCATAATCTTTAATGTAAGCATAGGCTGATATGTACATCATTTTTAAGGGTTAGTCAAGTGGAGTTCATTGTCGGAAACCGCGTCTCAAAAGGTTAACGCGTCTCAAAAGGTTCATCCGTTACAAAATGGCGAAAGTTCCAAAGTTCTTGTGGAAAACACCTGCACAGGCCTTACTTAGTATTGGTAAAAACTCAGCTTGAGAGCTGAAATTGTATTTTAAAGTCAACTAGCTCATAGACTAATATTATTCAATATTCAAAACAAATTTAACCAAGTTTCAGCTTTTAACCATCCATTTTTTGTCATACAAATACTAATTATTAAAATAGCTTTTCAATTCAACAGGTGTACAAATACACAAAAACACACAAATACTACAAATTTATTATTAAAAAACACTCAATTACTTTCGGTGCGTCAACTTTTTATAAAAACTTTACTTGTATATACCTACTCCAATCAAGATTCGATAGTGACTCCAATCACGCATAAATATCTCATCAGAGGAGCTGTAAATGTAGGTATGCAGGTGCCCAGAATTTTCGAATCTGCAAACCTTACCAATGTTTTTTACATCGCGAATATTTTGTATAGGAATATACCATCAGAGATTAGAAATCTACAGGTATCTCTTCCAGTTTATAAACGTTCGGTAAGCAGTTGGCTGTCGGAGATTGGGCTCGATCAGTCCGAGACACTTCAGTTCAGTATACAATACCTAACAATAATTAATACACTAGTACACCAAACAATATTTAGCGTACAGACATCAGTAACTGCAACTCCATTCACTCGACTACTTGTTACTTAGCTTTAACTGTTCTTGTAGCTGTCTCATAGCTTAGTTGTACATGATATTTTGATTAATTTAGTTTTGATTTTTAGATTAATTTCAAATTTGTAAAAGAGCTAGTCCCGCGCACAGGTCTTGTACGGCCTATGCGGGACTATTTTTTCGTATCTTGTATGTATATATTGTAAACAAACAATTTTTGTGAAATAAAACAGATTTTGATTTGATTATTATACTATATCCAATATGAAAAAAACAGGGAATTTCATGGGTAGTTCAAAAATTATAATTGTAAAGTAATTAGTAATGTAGTAGTCTTTTTATCTTGTCTTTACACTTGTAAAATGTGTGATAATGTATACAGCACCAATCAGCACCTCCTACATTCATATGAATGTTTTAAGTGTTTTTTTTTTATTTCAATTTTATAGGGAGGTTAAGATTGTTTAAATTTCTCTTTTTGGATCATTATAGTTACTCAGCAAAACATGCAGGTTTCTGAATCAATGCTTAATATAAGTCAATTAGTATTGTCATCCCAGCGTAAATTAACATCTACAAAAGGAACATCTTTCTTCACAAAGGTGAACTTAATTTTGTCCTACTAATTTTACAAGATAACTTATACAATTCATTTCTGTAAATGTAAAAATAATAATTAGTGTAGATATTGATCGAGCAAATTAAAGAAAGATTGTTGTTACCGTAGAATTTCACATAAGACGTTCAAGCCATGCAGGATTGTGTAAAGATTTGATTTTGAATTTTGGATAATGCTTTTTATTTATTAGTAGAACGAAATGCTAGCTATTTTTTTTACTTTTGTAAAACAATATGTTCAATATTGAAAGTAATATTTCGTAAAATTATAGGTCTATACAGTTCTAATATTGTCTGAAGTTGTAGGGGTATTAATCTAAATGGTGGTACTAAATAGCATTTATAGAGATTAACAAAATTTCCCCATTAAAGTCAATATATGTTCCGTTCTTTTGGCCTTATTGTTAAGAAGTTATTCTGTAAATTAAACTGAGATAAGGAAAACTTCCCATACTTATTCACTGAAAATAAAAAAGACTAATGCATATAACGGCAATTGTATTTTAACAGGTTTCATACAATGTCTCACTGTTGATCATTCATTGCAAAGAAGTATTCTGTAAACACCAAGGGAGCAGAAAAAAAATGATCTCGTCACCAATAAGTGTCACGCTAAACTAAACAAATTCAGTAAAATAACTAAAATTTAAATAATTTCTGATCACTGTCTTAGAAATTTAAACAGTTAGCAAACAGAGTGAATATTGTTCAGCAGCAGAACGTCACAATAAAAATTAAATCTGTGAGTCTACATTTACAAAATTTAATTAAATTCAATCATAAAGGGAACTCTTCCAGAGACACTTGGTATTATCTATAGGAATGTCTGAAGCCAATTTAAGATTTATATTTTGATCCACATTTCTTTTCATTTGGTTATTTTTCTCTTTCTTCAACCTCACAGTGATTCTACTGAAGGCTTGATTGTTGACAAGGTTCAGCAGAACTATCACTGTTCTGGTCTACTGGTTCTCCTATCTTCCGCATAATGTGACAAGGTACACCACTACACCAGGTATCATAGCTAGTGGACACATGCTATTGCTACCGTCCTTAGATAACTCGCCCTGGAAAAACACTTTCTTCGTGTACGGAGATTATCTATTGTGTATTTTAAATAGAATTAAAACAGTAGAGTATATGCAAAAGTAATATATTTGAAAACTGAAATGAAGTAAATGTAAACTTCATATAAACATATGCCCTATCTCGCTTCCGTCTGTCGGTGTGCATGTATTTTTTACATAACTTCCCATAACTTTGGAACCACTTAAAGGTACCAGCTTCAAACTTGGTATTTGTATGATAACTAATAGGAACTATTTTTTCGTAAAGTATCAAGTTTCTACTCTGTATGGTTTCAGAATGGCGGTCGTTTCAATTTTTCAAAGCTTAATAACTAAAAAAAACATATAATTTATTAAAAGGTTAAAAATGACAAATACCCCCGCCGTAGCAAACCTGCACACTAGGCGAATTTCCATTTGCCTGATTTGATTTTAAATTAAATCTATTCTAATAACATTAGGTTTAACGAGTACCTAGGTTTGCTGCCTACAGGGAGGGTAATAAAGTGTGTTTTTCGTAAAATATTAATAGCTTGGTATATAATAAATAGATTTGCCAGGTTTGATCCAAATATATCCATAAATAAGCAGACTACAACAGTTTACTTATTCTCCCTTTAACATGGGAATTTTAAATTTACAATTATCTCCGTAACCAATAATCATACAGATACACTTCAATAAACTAAATTATTTGTTTTTTTAAACGTTTTTTACTTAAAAATATTACCAATAAATTCAGCCTCTAGACATAAACTGAAAAAAAATAGAGAAACCAATATGGAAAATGATACGAAAGTAAATAAATCTAAGGTGTAATAGGACAGTTATTTAAAGAATAATTATGATTACAAGAGGTGCAAAATTTAATTCATTACACTGTCAAAAAATTAAGTGTGAAATAATTATTTAATCCAATTTAGATTTTATTTTCTCCATGTGAAAAAACAGCAGTTTCTCTCTTCTCTCAGGGCAGTCGTAGTTTCGGCGTTTGCAACAAGACAGCGCTGAAAGCAATAATGTAATCATAGACGCATAGAGGGGACCTCACGAAGAGGTTTTAGACTTTTCATTTGAATTACTGGTACTGTAATAGTCTACTTATGCACCGACTGCTTTAAAACCACACACAGTGTAGAAAGTAGGGTTTGAAATTATGTTGTGAATATTTCAGTTTCCTAACATTTGTACAAACAGAACAGCGACATACTAAAAACTTTACCAATTTGCTTCCTACAAAACGGCTTTCTTAAGTTATTTAAGTTAATCAGTTTCAGTTATTAACTGATTGATTTCCTGAGTTCTCACACTTATCGTTAAACAAATTAATACTTGATTAAAGTATTGCTTGAACCATAAAAAGATTAACCCAACCTTCACCAGAGTAGTGTTAACTTAAGTTCGTGAAATTTTTTACGCCACTACACTGTCATCGTTGACCTACTTCCCACGCAAGGATTTAGTCCAGAAAACAGCTGTTTGCCGTCAGCTTAATCAAATG